GTTTATTACTTCTTGAAGCTCTTCCTTGTACCCTTGGGGAAGTAACTGTTAATGGCGAATTCAAACTAAAGTTGTGTGTTCACAATCCTGTTACTGGTATTCAAAAGTCGTTACCTCCAAATCCAAATCTGAGCTTGATTGTTGGCCATTGTTTTTTGATAGTACATGATGCTTCCATTCAAAAATATAAAGTGGTGGTTTTTATTAATGAGGCACATCAAATCCCTATGGAGATCAACATAATTACGGTAGACAATGAGTGCAGCCAATGGAGGAAATTGATCAGTCCATCTATATTTTGTTGGTCTACATTTTACCTACATGTTTTCAAGCCTATCGCTGTGAATGGGATATTGTATTGGTTAGCATACAATTCAATGGACATGGAAATTGCTTATAATATTGAGAGTCCTCAGGTGGCTGTTGTACAATCAATGGATATTCCTACCGAGAAATTTAGGCCAAAAATAAGCTTGCCAAAAAGAGGTTCTGAACACCAACTTATAAATTGCAACTTGTTAGAGATTGAGGGATCCATCTACTTCTCAAACCCGGCCACTGATTTGGAATTAGAGTTATGGATGTTGGAGGAGGATTTGGGTAATCATATTTGGGTTATGAAACGTAAAATATGTCTTCTTTCCATTGTTGGTAAGCCTAATAGTCTGTCGAGTTTCTTAGCGGGTGATTCGTTTCATCCAATTCAAATGGTGGGGAGTCATGGATTGATGATCGTTCGACATGATTCTGTTGAAGGTTACATGGGTTATTTAGACGAAAGAAGCTGGTATTTGTACAACTTGAGGAGCCAGGAATTGAAATCTATTGTGGGAAGGATTCCTAAAGTGCAAAGGTGTTATGCTTATTCTGATATGGGGATTACTCATGTCAAAAGTCTAGTCGGTTGGAATTGAAAATCTTTTTTCTGCTAATTTATTTATTTTATTAAAAAAAGGTTTTCTGGTGCTGATTTGTGAAGACCTTGTTTTTGCAAAATAATGCTGCTAGAATTCCCTTTGTGTTTAGAATTGTAAGTATTTGTATTTCAATAATATATATTAATCAAGAAAAGACAGACTGGAAAAATGAAATCCCATTTGCATTTATAAGTGAATTAGCACTTAGAACACATGGATGGCGATTCCTTTCCTAAACATGTAGATTATGTAGCTAGCTAGCTTTTGTTGTCATCATTATGTTGTTGTAATAGTTGCTGTGTATTGGTATTATAGAATGCAGCCTGAGGACTTTCTATCCTCCAAAAAGATGGATTTGCATCCTTATTAACCCACTTTACTTTTTCAAAACAAGGGTTAAATAATTGAGTGTAACCTAGTTAATTTATCCATGATTCTCTCTAGAGGTTGATGATCACGAGTCATTTATATCTGTTTTTGGACTTTTTTGCTTATTAAACCCTAATCGATTACTCAAAGAAGTTGTTACTAAGTAGCTTTATTTTACTTGGTGTAATGAGATGCAAGTCCAATGATTGAAGCACTTCCATTATTACATCCATTTTAGTTCGGACTCATTCATCAATTCCTCTGTTAGGGAACCCCCATATTTGTTCCTATACATATTTTAAAGATTAATATCTTCACTGATCTTTTTTTAAACATTAATTAATATCTTCACTGATTTTTTTGTTTATGCTCAAAGGGCTTGACATTTTTGTTGGAGTCTTCAAATATGAGGATTTGCATCAAATCCTAGAGCTTCAAAAAGGGTGACAAATATACTTCCAATTTTTATTTTATTTTTTCCCCAATCTCGGGCTAAGTTGGGAAGTCATCTCCAAAAAGGTTTTTATTTTAAGACCCAACGTGTGACATTTATCACGCTAAATTTGATAAATAAAAGACGACCACATAGCTCTTTTTGTATCACCATAAAATATTTTTCTGTGCATATAAAATTGTAATATATTTTCTTTCAAAAAGTTGTAAAATAACTTCCGTATACAATTCCCGTAAGTCGTTTTTGGATTTCTCTGGTTAACAATCACGATGAGAACGCACGAGTCTCTCTCCCTTTCAACTAAACTAAGCTGAGCAACAGGGAATATTCGAACCTTTCAAAAAAAAAGGGAATATTCGATATATGCATTTTCGTTATGTATATCAAATGATATGGATCGTTGGGGAAAGTTCTAAGAAAGCTAATAAAATTATTTTGGGTATATACATGTATATTGGTGTGTGTTAGTACTTCATTTATTCATTCATGTATGTGAGTTGGTACAGGATTGAAATCATCCAAATGACCAATATTGGATTACAAATGATGGACTGTTTTATAAGAGGTAAATGCATTTTTTTGGGTTTCTACAATCGATCACATTTCTATTTCGAGGCTCAAATAATTGTAGTACAAAAGGTTGAGTTATGGGCGACCGATAGAAGTACCCTACGATTGATGGTAGCTTGTTAAGCATGTGCGCAGCCCTAGCTCACATGTGGGTTCGAACTGGACACTGTACAATTAATCGTACAATACCTATGATTGATTTAGCAAGTTATGAATCTCCTTAGAAACTATACTTTCAGGACATATTTTTAACAAGTTCTAAACATTAAAATGTAACTTTGCAAGTAGTAATATTATTGTTAAGATTAGTTCAAAATTTACTGTTAAAAAAGAAGCATTGAGATATATATCATAATTTAGTCATTTTAATTAAGATGTTCTACAATAAGTGCCTTATTTGAAATTGACATTTAGTGTGGAGCTTGGGCCCTACTTCTCGGAATCCATTACCGAGTAGTATTTTTGCACTAGATTTTGGATTAAAGAAAATTTTGTTTAAAGTTTTAATTAACTTTCTTTTAATTCTAAATCGAAGCCTCCAATTCAATGCCACCGAATATAATTACATAAGTATTTTTGCGAATAGTTTACAAGATTGACACCAAGACACCATCATATTTGAGTTTTGTATCCCGCAATGTTGTAGCAAAGTCTGATAACGCCATTTTCCTAATATTTTTCACCCTCATAAAGTTGATTGTGCCCATTCTTCAGGACCACGTCCAAGGTTTTTCAAAAATTATAATGCAAATTAAAAATTCTCTTTTTCTTGTAATTAGTTTATTTTTAATTTAAATTAATAAAAACTCTCTTAAATCGTATTTATTTTTAAAAAAGTTATTTGTTATTTTGAAATTATCATACAATTGCTTTAGATACTTATTTTAAACTTGTTTATGCATAATAAAAAAAAATTTATACTATTTTTTTTTTATCCTTCATCAATGCAATTTCTCTTAAGCTACTTGTTTGACTTAGTGTAAAAATGCTGGAATCGATTAATCGAATTGACCTAATTTATTTATTTTTATGTGGTTCTGTCATATTTCAAAATTTTAGAATCGTAAAAATTGATTTTGATTTGGGTTTTTCGTGTATATATATAATATAAAGAACAATATTTACCTACCAACCATTGAGTATACTTTCTATACAATGCTAATGTGGTTCAATAACAAATGCACACATTATTCTTGGAGTTGGAGGAATATATATATATATATATGGGTTAAGTGCAGAAAATCCCCCTGTAATATAGGTTTTGTGCACAAATAGTCCTTCGAAAATGTGCATTTTAGTCCATAAAATTAAAAAAAAAAAGGTGCAAATAAGTCCATTTGACCACTTTTTAGTCAAAAATGAAATAAATAAATTTTAAAACCCTAATTTGCCCTTTTCTTTTCCTATTCTACCCTTTGTTAATTTTCCTATTCACGATCTGCACGTTGACCAGAGAAATTGTTGGCAGACATTGAAAGCTACTCCAAAGAAGACATTGAATACAAGAAGTCAGGAAGGTTGCCTGAAAATGAATTGATATCCACGTGCAACCGTTGCAGAGAGGTGCTGCAATTGGCCAAACTTTCAAGCCCACCAGTGAAATGGTTCATTGATAGATCAAGAATCCGAATCTTCTTGGAGGAATTACACATTCGAGAACTGAATTCGCCGACAAATGAATTGTTGCTTACATTGAATACAAAAATATTCCGAAATCCCCCAATATCAAGCAAGTACCCATTGAATGAATTGCTTGAAATATTAAATGATTTGATGGATTTCAATTCACGAAGAGCTCCCAACATCAGTCCCGCTAACATGTTATGACTCAAATCAAGAACTTCTAACTGCTTCAAATTCGAAATCACCATGGGCAATGCACCTTCCAAATGATTACATGAAAGATTAAGCAGTTTCAACTGAGGTAAACTGCCCAAAGAATTCGAAATCACCCCTCTTAAACCTTTGTCGAACAAATTCAACATTGTCACTATAACAGCTGCTAACCCATTACCGCCATGCTTACAAGCAACACCATCCCACTTACAACAAGCAAAATCCTTGGACCATGCTTTGACAATAGACCCACTGGTGAGGTTTCCTCTAAATTCTTTCAGTGCCTGCAAATCATTCCGATCACAGGGTTGGCTTAGGGTTTGAAGACCCAAACATGAGCAAACAAAACAAACCAAGAATGCCCATTTGGTGATTGGTTTAGGACAGTGGTGATTGTGGTGGCGGCAGCGATTGGTGATGGGCTGGGATTGGGATTGTGATTTGTGTGGGTGATTGTAATATTTCCTATTTTTATCATTTTTCATTGGATTTTTTTTTATTTTTTGGGGTTATTTTTGTTTTGTCTTGTTTTGCGCGTCAAACATCGTGGGATGTACCTGGTGTGTTGCGAGGATTGGTTTTTCCTTTAGTTCAGGACTCTTGAAATTACATTGGTTGTCATTCGGTATTTTTTCGTTTTTCAGGCCGGGAGGTCCTAAGTGGGATCCGCTACCGGGGTTGTTGTTTACGGGAATTGTATTTCGGATTCATTACATTTCATGCACTATTATTTGATGTACAATTACTTGGTTCCATGTTTATTTGGTGGTTGTAATTTGATTTGTGTGTGTGTATATATATATATATATATATATATATATATATATCTATATTGTAAAAGGTGAGATATTCGGTTGTCGTGGCCCGCCACTATACCTCATCAATTATAATGACCACAAGGTCATAAACTGACCTCATACTTTCTCTTCTCATCTCGTTCTCCCTCTTCTTCACAGCTTTCATTTTCTTTTTCTTTTTCCATTATTTAAGCTTAGATTTCTTCTACACCTTTAAGATTTTGATCTTGTCATAGAAGGCAAAGTTGATGAGCGTGTTGAGGGATTCGTTTTGATAGGAAGAAATCACCATTTAGAGCAATTTCTGATTTTCGAATTTTGGGTGCATTTGGGGTTTTCTTCTATATTTGAGGTAGATGTGCTCTAATTAATGACTTCTTTAATTTTGGTGAATTTTCTCTCTTTAATTTGAGTCAAAGTATGCTTAAATTGATAATTTTGTTTATAGTATTGAGGGTTTTATGTATAAATGTGTTCTATGTGATTATGTGGCTGAAAATGCATGTTACTTGGAATTGTTGGATGAAGCATACTAAACTGAATTTCTGTTTGAGTTGTATGCGTATAAATGCTGAAATTTTATGTTGTCAAGGCATGAAATATAACCACTATGTTGAATGAGTTTGATTTGTTATATGAAAGCATGATACGCCTATTTTTAGAATTTTATAAAGCCATGTTATATTATTGTGATTAATTTCAAATGATGGAAATTTGTATATTGTCATGGTTGTATACGGCATGAGTTAGTCATGCATTTCATTGGAAAGGAAAAGGAAAAAAGTTTGTTTAAAAGCAAATGGAATTGATTTTCGGGAAAATGTTTTGAAAACGGTTGGAACGGTGAAACGGAGATGTTTTGGAAAATGGGGTGGCACATTTGGCATGTCATTGCATTACATTGACATGCATTGTATTCATGTGGTTGGATGGTCTGAATTGAAATTGTAATTGTTGTTGTTGTTGCTATATTTTTCTCCCTAGGGCATGATCCTATTTACTTTTACACTATGCTTTGTGTGGATTCATGGGGTCATTAAGAGGTATGTCTTAGACACTTTCTACTGAGCCGTTGTGCTCACCCCATTACTTTAATATTTTCAAGACATGGAAAGGAGGTGGCGGATGATGATCTACCACAGGCGTCATTAGAAGCTTATTTTGTCATATTTGGCATTTAGATTTTATCTTTTTGTAAAGGCATCATTTCGAAAATGTATTAGAATTACAAAGCATAGCCTTGTATTGTAATCAAGATCTCTTGACAGTATTTTAATGTAAATTGATCTATTTGTAATGGCCATGGATGCATATATTAATTTTGTTATATATTTGGACATGAACGGGATGATGATGAACTATTTTGAGGATAATGTTAATGTTGTTGGTTTTGGATTAATGTTTATTATTTGCATTGTGCATGCGTTGGAACATGGTAGATTAGTTTTAAGGCCCTAAGTGAGGCCATTGCATTTCTTATGCATTATTGCAGGTTAGTAGCAGGATTCTTTAATGTAGAGGTCATGCTGGTCGACCAAATTTTAGTATCGGTTGTCCGGTATCTCTTTGGGTCGTTACAGTGATTTTGGGGTTAATTTGCAGTGGTTGTGGGGAAGAAGTTCACTCACGCCGAGTCCAAGTGGATTTGAGTTTGTGGGTGAGTTTAGAATTTGTCTAAAATGGTAATTTTACATTGTCTGAATTTTTTTATTATTTTATTTTATTGACAAGAGATATTAATGTCTTTTTATGCGAACATGGGGTATTTGGACCAAATTGATAGTATGAGGGGTTTTATACCACACAGTAACTTTTTTGTACTATATGGATAGTAGAAAAAATTATAATGCAATACTGGGCAAAAAAAATTTAAAAAGATTAAATATTAGTTGCTGCTCCATTGTAAAAAGAATAAATTTTTATAATAATGTTTCGTTTGGTAGGAAGGAAGGAAAAAGGGTGGATAGAAGACAGGAAAGAAGAAACAAATTTCTTTCATTTGATAGAGAGGAGGCAAGGATAGAACAGAAAGGAAGGAAAAAGGGTGGATAGAAGACAGGAAAGAAGAAACAAATTTCTTTCATTTGATAGAGAGGAGGCAAGGATAGAACAGAAAAGACGATAGATGAAAAATCCTTTCTCCTCCACAAATATTTATAAAAAAAGGACAAGGCTATTATAAAAAATTTTAAATTATCAAAATTTTCTTATAATTAACATACTATATATATTCTCTTCTCTCCTAAGAAACAAATTCTCTCCTAACAAACAAAATAAGGTCTCTTATTTTTCCATACAATAAAAAAAAAAAAAAAAGAAAAGATAATAAGGTCTCTTATTTTTCCATACAATAAAAAAAAAAAAAAAGACGAAAAAATATTATTTATTCTCTATGGATATCTCATTCATCTTTTCTTATATCAATTCCATTCAATTTTCTTCCTTCCTACCACATGAAACAGAAATCAAATTGCAAAGTGGGCAAATGCCAATCCAAAATGGAGCAGCAACCAAAGTGTATCCAAGATGGAGCATCAATTAAACTGATTCCTATCTCCATCTGTGAAAAAAAAAATACACATTCCTTGATATTAATTCCAAGAAGATAACCTAACCACATTCTGGAGGTCTTTTGGGACCGCTTTGGAGAATTTTTTAATAATTGACCGGTACATGTGAGACCGGATACCACACGCGCCTGGAGGCCAACACCTTATTGTAAGCAAAAAAAAAAAAAAAAAAAATGCACTCCACTTTTGTACATTTTTCACTACAATCTTAAATGAAATGACAATTCTAACCCTAACTTTATAAGCAAATGATTATTACTTTTTAAATGACACAATTGCCCTTTCAAATTTCCTCTCCTTGTATCTAGTATTTAATAAATTAAATTTTTTTTTTTACGGGACAAATATATTTATGTTGATTAAATTGACTCTTTTGACCTAACCAAAAAAAAAACTATATCTTTTGATAGGAAAAAAAAAAAAAAAAAACCCCAAAAAATATATTTATCTAAAAATTACCTCTTTTGTCGAGATCCCCAAAAAACAAAAGTACGAAAATAGAAGATTAAATTTTTTTTTTTTTTTATCTCTATTGAATAAATTATTTCTTTTGATAAGACCCCCAAAAAAGAGATTATTTATATTGAATAAATTTTTTTTTTTTTTTTTACTGTACCCATAAAAAATTACCAAAAAATAAGTTTCCAATAAGTTAACTTTGTTGAATAAATTATCTATTTCGATTGTACACAAAAAAAAAAAAAAAAAAAAAAAAAAAAATCTCTATTAAATATATATATATATATATATATATATATATATATATATATAGCACTAAGAAAGAAAAAAAATTAGTAAAGGAGGTAAAAAAAAGTTGAATTTTTGTAAAGGATTTTTATGAAATTATAAAATAAGGGATGATCCATTAATGAATTGAAGAACATTCTTGTCATTTCCTTTAAAAGAAAAAGGTAAATGGACTAATGGAGTGCAATCCCAAAAAACAGGAGGCCTTATCCCAAAAAAAAAAAAAAATTAATAATCTCTACGGTTGGGCCAGATACTTGTACTATAAATAAATGGTTTCCATAGGGTGGGTATCTTAAATTTTTAAAGGCAGTTTCTTTATTATTAGAATTAGAAATATATGGTTTCCTTATGGCATATCTTAACTTTGTGAATAAGTCATTACTACTACCTCCATTATTTCAGTAAGTAATTTAAAATACTCTTTGAGAATCTCAAAGAGACTCTTTGTCTTTTTATTCATTACTCCCAGAAGGAAAAATTGTAAGCAGCATAGCATGGGATGCGGAAACAGTAAAAGCAATGGCAAGAAGGACAGCTCCTCCTTCAATAGGCTGCCTAGAGATATCATGTATGAGATACTAACAAGAGTAGCTGCTGAATCACTCGTTAGATTCAAACTAGTTTGTAAATTGTGGAAAACCATCATCTCTCATCCCGAATTTATCAGTTCTCATCTTCACATATGGCAATCCAAGCCCTCATTCATCTTCACAGCCGCAGATTTACAATCCGATCGCTTGCTTCTTTCGGATTTTGAGGACCAAGACTCCACAGATTTTCCTATACGTATTCCCAAAGGTTACCTCCATATTGATGACTCTACTGATGGTTTATTACTTCTTGAAGGTTATATATCTGGACAAACAAAGTTTTGTGTTCATAATCCTATTACTGGCAGTCAAAAGTTGTTACCTCCAACTTTAAATAACAGGGAGATTCGGTGGGGCAATTTTTTCATAGTACATGATGCTTCAATTCAAAAATATAAAGTGGTTCTTTTTATTGGTAATCCATGTATTATTATCCATGACAATATCCACATAATTACTGTCGACAATGATGCTGATAGGGGCAGCGTCGAATGGAGGGAATTGATCAGTCCATCCGCATTTTGCCCGCAAGGGGGTTTCAATCCCATCAGTGTGAATGGGATATTGCATTGGTTAGCATACACTTATGATAATCCTTTACAAGTACCTTTTGTTCAATCAATGGACATTGCTAGAGAGGAATTTAGGCCAGGAATAAGCTTGCCATGTCAACCAAAATCAGATTCCTATCGCCAACGGGTCAGACTGATAAATTGCAACTTGTTAGAGATGAAGGGATCCATCTACTTCTCAAGTCCCGCCACGGATATGGAATTAGAGTTATGGATGTTGGAGGATCTGGCTAACCATATTTGGGTTAAGAAACATACAATATGCCTTCTTTCCATTGTTGGTAAGCCTCGTACTATGTACAGTTTCTTAGTGGAAGATTCATTTTACCCAATTCAAATGATGGGGAATCATGAATTGATGATCATTTGGCATGATAAAGATATAAATCGCTGGAAATTTTTTGAGGGAAAGGGCTGGTACTTGTACAACTTGAGGAGCCAGGAGTTGAAAGCCATTGTGGGTAGGACTCCGGAAGTGAAAGAATGTTATTATCGTTCTAGTAGGAAGATTACTCATGTCAATAGTCTAGTTGGTTGGAATTGAAAACCTTTTTCTGCTACTTTTTTTTAAAAGGTTTTGTGGTGCTGTTTTGTGATGTAGTTGTGAGCCTGTTTTTGAAAAATGGTGCTCCTAGAATTTGATGTATTTATATTTCTATAATACATTCAAGAAACGAAAACATGGGTGGCGATTTCTTTCATACGCATGCAGATTATATAGCTAGCTTTTGTTGTTATTGTTGTGTTGTTACTGCTGCCATTGTTGTTATACTGTTATTGTGATATTTTCAAGCAAGCCTTAAAAAAATCTCAATGTATGCAAGGTCTCACATCATGTGATACCCTTCGGATCCGAGACACAGGTTGATCAGGCTCAGGCCCAAACCCGAGAGAACATCAAACAATTAATATTTAAACGAACACAGATGACAAAAATGAATTTAATAAATACAAGTTTAAAAGCTTAAAAGAATACTTAAACATGATCCTTGAAATTTAATACTTAAAAACCCACATAATAAAGTTATAATAATCCAACTTAAAACCTGCAAAGGTACAACTCGGGAATCCATCCAGTGGACCCCTAACAAGAAACCAAACTAAAATAAAACTAGAAGAAATCCATAATTAACTCATGGAGAGAGATCCTACGTAGTCGGAAGAATGAGCGACCTTCTTTGCCCAGCACGAACAAGCTCAAGCCTAGAACTGATGTACACCTGAAAAATAGGAGTGGGTCAGACCCACGAATAAGTTCTATCCTACTACAATCCAAGCGGAGACTCGATACGCATATACATTCTAACCAACTCAACAATAACTAAATAGTCCGTAGATATATATATATATATATATATATATATATATTCACACTACAGGACTTTCACTAGACTACAGGCCCATCTCAACCTGACTAGTAGGTACCATGCAAAGCGCACCTAAGGTGGGCATGACTACCTAGACCTAGTAGGGTACACATCAAACCATCGTAACCAGTTATGCATCCCCATGCATATACGCTCCCTGACAAGCGATTCTGAGACTCAGGCTCATATCGTGGTACCATAAAAATATATTTAAAATCCGTTCCCATCCAGCCGTAAGAAATCCAGTTTAGTTGTTCAGTGTAATCAGCCGCACAGACTAACATATAAGGATAACTCTATTTATTAAAACCCGTACCCTTATTCCAAAATAGGTATGACTTAGCAATTTGAGCTAAACCAACCCTCGTATGTCACCGTCCCATACCGGTGCATACCATCCATCCATCCAGTAGTTGACATTACAGATAAGGAATGTAAATATCAAACTAATCCATAACTACAACAATTGATAATATAACTATGTAAATATAAATTTCAATTGTTCCAAAAATACCTAGTCAATGCATATAGCAAACTGAACCAAAAGAAGCATACATAGAAATATAAACTAACATGCTTACTCCAGTAACTGATAAATCTAAATAATGAGATACATCAATCAATTTCATGACAAGCATAATAAAAATAGACAATCTATCATGCTTATACTATACCAACCCATTAATTGATGATATAAATGATAAAAAGCTACACATCAATTAATCCTCACTAAACATGACAAAAATATAGAATTTGACATGCATATTTTACATCATTGATACATAATTAGAGACGTATAATCCTTGATAGAAAATTGCTAAATTAAGTCCCAGCAATTTAAACATCCATAGCCAAATTCAGTGTAGGTAAGTTGTTAAGAAATTCTTGTTATTCAAATTTCTAACAATCTAGAATTGAGTACACCTTTGTGTTTTAAACCACACTTCTAAACCATCCGAAACCTACCATTACAGTCTCTAACTTAAGTCTAAAAACCCAAAAATCCATTCACAGTAGCCCAACCTCGTTGGAAATAGCAGAAAAATAAAAAAAATAAAGAAAACAAGGAAGCAGGCTAAATTCCCAACTGAGCCAGCTAAGTTCCCAACTTAGTCGGCTCGGTTGGTGATGTCGTTTTCTTCACTTTCCTTGAGTCCGGCGTCTTCTCGATGAACTGTCCTCCTTACCTAAGGTTCCTAAGATCTGAACTAGACTCCAAGGTGTTTAAGAAATAATTAAACCCTTTGTTTAATAATCGACAACAATTGCAACCCGAACTATGCAATAAGGATTTAAAACAAGCAACTTACAGTTCATCAACGTTTACTGTTTAAACAAATCAACCATGAAACCCAGACTTATTTTAATGTTTACCCAATGTGTTCCAGACTTAATTCAGTTCCTTATTCAATAATTCGTCGTCAATTTAAATAATAAATTAAGCAAGAAAATTCAAAACAACCAAGTTTACGCTACATGAAGTACATATTGATTTAATTACCTCAGACATGCAAACCAGATTAATGTTTATATTTCTTTACTCCTGAAGTTGTGTTAAGAATGTAAAGAACGCGAGCAAAGGGAAAGAGTTAGGATTAGAACTTGCCTGTAAGACTTTGGTCCAAAATCTTAGCACCGTCTTCCTAAGGTTTCCGGCAATCCTTACTGTAATTCTCCTCTGTTCCTTCTCTACCTCCACAGTCATGAGTAGGGTTCTAAAACCCTTGGCAGAACCTTATACGTATATTTATAGGCCAAACTAATCCTAGGTTCAATTAAACCCTAAACTAACTTACTCGGCCCACAGACCAACCCATGTTAGATATACGTCGGCTACATACGTGAATTCTAAAAAAACAAAAACCTAACACCTTTAACCATTAAAAAAAAAAAATCTAATTTAATAAACAACTAAAATAAATAAAATCCAATTAAATAAACATGAGATTCAAATAATTAATCAAATAACATAAAAACAAAACCATTTAATTAAATACATACGCAATTAAATAAAATAATTAAATAAAACAACCACATAACACAAGTAATTTAAATAATGCACAATTAATAAATTAAAATGAAATTTAACAATTAAATAAATTCCAGAACTATCCTTTTAAAATTAGGGGTATTACATTCTTCCCCCCTAACAAAAGGAATTCCGTCTTCGGAATTCGCTCTTACCTTCTTCCCATAATTCAGGAAACTGCGAGCGAATGACATCCTCCCGTTCCCAAGTAAATTCAGTCTCATTGTGATGACTCCACTGAACATGAACCAAAGGGATAACCTTATTATGAAGGATTTGATCCCGATGGTCGACAATCCGACACGGTGGCTCCAAATAGGTTGCATCCGGCTGCAACTCAATCTCCCCAATATCGATATGCTGATACCGATCCTCATCTCGTAGGAATTTTCGTAACATGGAACACATTATGCACACGATCCAAATGATCCGGAAGTGCCAACCGATAAGCGACAGCTCCAACTCGATCCGTAATCATGAAAGGACCGACAAACCGCGGAGACAACATCCCTTTCTTCCCAAAGCGCATGACACCCTTCATGGGAGACACTTTGAGTAGAACCTGATCCCCAACCTGAAAGTCCAAAGTATGTGTGCGACGATCCGCATAACTCTTCTGCCTACTCTGGGCAGTGCGCATGCGCTCCCGAATAAGAGCTATCTTCTCAGAAGTATCCTTGATGAACTCAAGACCCAAGAATCTGCTCTCGCCAACCTCTAGCCAACAAACAGGCGATCGACACGGGTAGCCGTATAACACCTCAAATGGTGCCATCCCAATAGTTTTCTGGAAACTATTGTTATAAGCAAACTCCACAAGCGGTAAATAATCCTCCTAGTGGCCCTTGAAATCAAGAGCACACGAACTAAGCATATCCTCCATGATCTGATTCACCCTCTCAGTCTGTTCATCAGTCTAAGGATGATAAGTAGTACTAAGGTGTAATTCTGTACCCAAAGCCTGCTGAAAACTCTTCCAAAATCCTGACACAAAGCTCGAATCCCTATGCGATATAATAGACAATGGAATGTCGTGCAACTTCACAATCTTAGTAATATAAAGTCTCACCAACTGCTCCAAAGTGAAGTCAGTGCGAATAGGCAAGAAGTGAGCTGATTTAGTCAACCTATCCACGATGACCCAAATGAAATTGTAATCCTTGAAGGAATTAGGCAATCCCTCCACGAAATCCATAGAAATACTCTCCTATTTCCACTCCGGTATTGGTAATGGTTGTAGAACTCCTGGCGACCTCTGATGATCAATCTTAACCATCTGACAAGTACTACACTGCGAAACAAAAAGAGCAATGTCCCTCTTCATACCTGTCTACCAAAACTGTCGCTTCATATCTTGATACATCTTATCTCCTCCTGGATGAACAGAAAACTCAGAATGGTAAGTCTCAGTCATCACATCCTTCCTTAACTCATCAGCAGAAGGTACCACTAACCGTCCCTTGTACCTTAAACCTCCATCAGCCCCAACATAGTAGAATAGAACCTCTCCGGAAGCTATCTCTGCAACCTTGTCAATGCACTGCTGATTCGTGAGTTTTACCTTCAAAACCTTGTGAATGATAGAAGGTGTAACTACCATACAAGCCATGAAAACATCCGACAACTCATCCACTGTCCTCAAAGCATTCCACTTAGTAGCGAATAGAGCAGAAAGACTACCAACAGGTCGGCGACTGAGTGCATCCGCCACCACATTCGCTTTCCCTGGATGATACTGTATAAAAAAGTGATAGTCTTTTACAAACTCCAACCATCTGCGCTGTCTCATATTCAGCTCCCACTGAGTGAACAAGTACTGTAAACTCTTGTGGTCGCTAAACAACCTGAAGGATTCACTCAACAAATAATGCCTCAAAATACATAAGGCAAATACCACAGCTGCCAACTCCAAATCATGTGTTAGATAATTAATCTCATGAGGCTTAAGCTTCCGAGTTCCATATGAAATCGGTCACTCCTCCTGCATCAAAACACATCCAAGACCCTGCAACGAAGCATCCGTGTAGACCAGATACTCTATCCCGCTCTGTGAGGTAAACAAAGCCGGTGCAGAAATCAACTTAGTCTTCAGCTCATCAAAAGCTTTCTACAATGTTCATCCCACACTAACCGTACACCCTTCTTAGTCAAATGAGTGAGCGGCCCCGCTATCTTGGAGAACCCCTGGATGAATCTCTTGAATATCTTGCCAAACCGAGGAAACTCCGAATCTTAATAGGTGAAGTAGGTTGTCCCCACTCAACCACCGCTAAAACCTTGGCCGGATCCATCGTTATTCCCCTTTCTGACACCATGTGACCTAGAAATTTCATCTCCCGCTGCCAAAATTCACATTTCTCGAACTTGGCACACAACTGTTGCTCACGAAGCGTCTGCAAAACTATTCGAAGATGCCTAGCATGATCATCCTCTGACCTCGAGTAAATCAAAATGTCATATATGAAGACAATGACAAATTAATCTAAGTAAGCCTTAAAGACTCTGTTCATTAAATCCATGAAAACCACTGGTGCATTAGTCAACCCGAATGGCATCACCCGAAACTCATAAGATCCATATCTAGTGAGAAACGCTGTCCTCGAAACATCTTGCTCCCGAACCCGAAATTGATGATATCTAGACCGCAAATCAATCTCAGAGAAATAGGTAACTCCCTTCAATTGATCAAAAAGATCATCAATCCTGACTAAAGGGTACTTATTACGAATCGTAACCTTGTTTAACTCCCTATAATCTATACATAGGCGAAGCGAACCATCCTTCTTCTTCACAAACAAGACAGGTGCTCCCCAGGGTGAAGTACTCCTACGGATAAAACTCTGGCTGAGTAGCTGCTGAATCTGATCCCTCAGCTCTCGCATCTCCACTGGTGCCATCCTATACGGTGCCCTAGCAATAGGCGTAGTGCTTGGAGCTAAGTCTATCACAAAGTCGATCTCGCAACTAGGCGGCAACCCTGGAATCTCCTGAAATACATCCGGAAAATCCTATACAATTGGTATGTTATCCAATGATACAGTAGTCCCCTCTTCCGTTTCCTCCCCCATATGAACCAATAGGTGCTAGTGACCCCGTTAGAACGCGGCATAGCAATGAGGTACCTATCCTGACCAGGTATGGTGCACACAATAGACCCATCTAAAACAAATAACTTGAGCATGGCAGTGATAACCAATCCATCCCTAGTATCACGTCATATGTGCATGTCCAGGACTAGAAGATTGGCTAGAAATCTGAGTCTACCAATATCTAGTGTCACAGGCCACAGGCCCATCACTCTCATGTAAAATGACTGTCCCAACGGTGTAGAAATACCCTGAGGTTTATTACATACCCTCGTCATCATCCCAGATAAAGTAACAAAAGGCTGAGATACAAACGAGTGAATTCTAAAAAAACAAAAACCTAATTTAATAAATAACACCTTTAACCATTAAAAATAAAAATAAAATCTAATTTAATAAACAACTAAAATAAATAAAATCCAATTAAATAAACATGAGATTAAAATAATTAATCAAATAACATAAAAACAAAACCATTTAATTAAATACATACACAATTAAATAAAATAATTAAATAAAACAAACACATAACACAAGTAATTTAAATAATGTATAATTAATAAATTAAAATGCAATTCAACAATTAAATAAATTTAAGAACTATCCTTTTAAAATTAGGGGTATTACATTCTTCCCCCCTGACAAAAGGAATTCCGTCCTCGGAATTCGCTCTTACCTTCTTCCCATAATTCAGGAAATTGCGAACGAATGACATCCTCCCATTCCCAAGTAGACTTAGCCTCATTGTAATGACTCCACTGAATATGAACCAAAGGGATAACCTTATTACGAAGGATTTGATCCCGACGGTCGATAATCCGACACGGTGGCTCCAAATAGGTTGTATCCGGCTGCAACTCAATCTCCCTAATATCGATATGCTGATACCGATCCTCATCTCGCAGGAATTTCGGCAACATGGAAACATGGAACGCATTATGCACACGATCCAAATGATCCGGAAGTGTCAACCGATAAGCGACAGCTCCAACTCGATCTGTAATCATGAAAAGACCGACAAACCACGAAGACAACATTCCTTTCTTCCCAAAGCGCGTGACACCCTTCATGGGAGACACTTTGAGTAGAACCTGATCCCTAACCTGAAAGTCCAAAGCACGTGTGCGACGATCCGCATAACTCTTCTGCCTACTCTGGGCAGTGCGTATGCGCTCCCGAATAAGAGCTATCTTCTTAGAAGTATCCTTGATGAACTCAGGACCCAAGAATCTGCTCTCGCCAACCTCCAGCAATAAATAGGCGATCGACACGGGCGGCCGTATAACGCCTCAAATGGTGCCATCCCAATAGTCTTTTGGAAACTATTGTTATAAGCAAACTCCACAAGCGGTAAATAATCCTCCTAGTGGCCCTTGAAATCAAGAACACACGACCTAAGCATATCCTCCATGATCTGATTCACCCTCTCAGTCTGTTCATCAGTTTGAGAATGATAAGCAGTACTAAGGTGTAATTCTGTACCCAAAGCCTGCAGAAAACTCTTCCAAAATCCTAACACAAAGCTCGAATCCCTGTGCGATATAATAAACAATGGAATGTTATGCAACTTCACAATCTCAGTAATGTAAAGTCTCGCCAACTACTCCGAAGTGAAGTTTGTGCGAATAGGCAAGAAGTAAGCTGATTTTCATAATTTTCATGAATATATTGCATTAAAACAAAGAAATATTTTTTTAACGTAATTTATTAATTTTTCATGAATATTGTTTGAAAAAAAAGATATCTTTTATACTAAATTTTTTTAAAGTGAGTATAATAAGTTAATCATTTTAGAAAATGATGGCTACAAATTTATTTATTTATTTCCATTTTTATAATCAATTGATACTAATTATAAAATTAAGGTAAATTGTATAATTAATATTTAAATAAGAGAAAATATAATAAAAAATAATTTAATAAAAAATGACAAATTTAATAACAAAGGGTAAAATAATCTTTTGTGATGGTTTTGTCCTGTGTCTCATTTAATAACAAAAGGTAAAATAATCTTTTGTGTGTGTGTGTCAGATTTGTGTATTTAATCACCATATTTTCACATATTGTCGTTTTTTTATCTATGATCATTGAGCAATTGTTTTTTTTTTTTTAATTTTTTTTTTATTTTTACGCAAAAAATTGTAAAAGAGGTTTATTATTTGAGCTTTACCTTTTAGGCAAACCACGTCTCGGTGATTATTTCGAACATAAGATTCAGTACTCTTCATTTATTGGTTTTGACTTTGAGCAAGGACGGGGTCTAATAATGAGTTGGCGCCGGGATGCTTATAATGTAATGTGTAACTACTATCTTACCCTTGGCATATTTTTTGCCCTTTAAAAAAATTCAGTATTCCAGCCGCCTCCCTGTTGTGAGTCTTGTGACTTCAAATAGCTCAAGCCAGTACCTAAGCCTTTCTCCCTCATCCTCACCATCGCCGGCCACCGTTGCGTCTTCCGTCAGCTCCACCATCACCGGCCACCGTTGCGTCTTCCGTCAGCCCCACCATCTCTAGCCGATCTTCTAGCCGACAGGTGCGTCTCTCTCCACAACATCTCTCTCTTTTTTCTCTCTTAGACATCATATCATCTCTCGACTCTCTCTCTTATATGTCTTAAAAAACCCTAATTTTCAAGGTTAGCTTATGAAGGTCGTTCTTAATTCGATCGCATCCATGCATGTCGAATTGTCGACAAACCCTTCCTACATACTAAAAAATTGATATGAGAAATCTGATATTGCTGCATTGAATTTCTTTCCTCGTCTCTTTTTACGAAATTCGTGGTTCCACTGATTAACCAAAGAGATGAAACTACCCGTGAGCTACCAATATGCTGAAGTGTGGCACACTAATACTAAGTATCTTTTTTTTTTTTTCACACTAATACTAAGTATCTTTTTTTAAAAAAAAAAAAAAAGAAGAGGAGGAAAAACCTAAATTAATAAAAGTTTATATATGCAACTATGCAAGTGTGTATCTGAACTATAATATAATCGGACATGTTCAATATCTATATGGAGGCAAGACAACTTGATCCATTGATGTCCCACCTAAGCTTAAGCTTTTGATATAAGAAATAAAAACAGAAATTGGATGAATTCACTTAACAAATCGATGCCAAAAAATTAAATAGAAGTACCAATTGTTCATGAGTAAGAAAATGAGTGGGAGACTTTAAAAGGGGCGTGGCGGGCCGACCGGAAATTGGATGTTTTACATGTGAAAAATATTGTACGAGGAAAACATTTTTTATCTATCTCAATCCATATGATTAAATATTTAGTTATATTTGTTGAAGGTCTGGGTATAGAGCTAGCTAGACCAGAAATTGTAAGCAGCATAGCATGGGAAGCAGAAATAGTGGCAAAAGCAAAATCAAAAGCAATGACTTGAATTGTCTGCCTAGAGAGATTATGCATGAGATACTAACAAGAGTACCTGCTGAATCACTTGTTAGATTCAAACTAGTTTGTAAGTTGTGGAAAACCATCATCTCTGATCCAAATTTTATCAAATGTCATCTTCACATATGGAAATCCAAGCCTGCAGTCATGGTCAGTGAATATTTAACGTCCCATCGCCTTGCTTCTTTCGGATATCAAAGAGAGAGACTCCACAGATTTTCCTATATGTATTTCTAATGGTTACTCCGAGGTTGTTGCCTCAAATGATGGCTTATTATTTCTTCAAGCTCGAGCTCTTCCTTGTTACACCCTTATAGAAGGAGTTCTTCATACTGAAAAAGAAACAAAGCTTTGTGTTCATCAACCTGTTACTGGCATTCTAAAGTTGTTACCTCCAAAACCAAATTTGAGCTTGGTTGGTAGCATTTTTTTGATAGTACAGGATGCTTCAATTCAAAATTATAAAGTTGGTGGTTTTTAATGACGAGGCACATCCTATCCCTAAGGAGATCAACATAATTATGGTAGACAATCAGGGCAGCGGATGGAGGAAATTGATTAGTCCATCTACATTTTCTAGGTCTAAATTTTGCCTAGAAGGTGTTTCCAAGCCTATTGCTGTGAATGGGATATTGTATTGGTTAGCATACAATTGTGATATTGGTCCTCAGAGATCAATGGACATTCCTTATAATATTGAGAGTGTTTATCCTCCTCAGGTGGCTTTTGTACAATGAATGGATGTTCCTACCAAGGAATTTAGGCAAAAAATAAGCTTGCCGTGTCAAACAAAAAGAGATTCTGAAGGGATCACTCTACTTCTCAAACCCCGGAAATGGAATTAGAGTTATGGATGTTGGAGGATTTGGGTAATCATATTAGGGTTAAGAAACATAAAATATGTCTTCTTTCCATTATTGGTAAGCCTAATAGTCTGTCAAGTTTCTTAGCGGGTGATTGGTTTCATCCTTTCATTTATTAATAAATTTGAGTTCATTCCAAACATTCCATACACACAACAAAATAAAAAATCTAATCCCATTCCTTTTCCTTTTCTAATTCCAAATTTGGTATCCAAAATGTGTATATATATATATATATATATGCTTAAAAAACCCTAATCTCTCACACTTCAAAGAGCATCTCTCCCTCATCCTCTTGCCGGTCCCTGTTGCGTGCTTCGGCAGCCTCACAATCACCGGCCGATCTCTTTAGCCACAGGTATGTCTCTCTCTCTCAACAGTGTCACTTTTTATCTCTCTAGCTCTCTTTTTGTTCTCTTTCTTTACACATCGCTTGTCCCTCTCTTATATACGTGCCTAAAAAAATCCTAATTTAACCTACAAATCCTTTTAAGCTACATGCTAAATTTAACCTAATATAACAGATTCTTTTAAAAACCCTAATTTATTCTTTCTATTTGTGGTTCCACCCATTAACCAAAATAAAACTACAGTGCACTCTAGAATCTAATACACTTATATTCTAGAATCTAATACACTGACATCTGTATGAAGCAAGACAAATTAGACCATTTATTCACCACATCATATAGGAGATCGATTGCGGCAGGGTGGTGTTTTATCTGTTTTTTTTTTTTTTTTTTTTTTCCCCTTATTCGAATGAGACTTATTTATTTTCAAAAGTATTTTTGTGCCTCTTTATTCTTTAACCAATAAGCTTCTGATTTTACCTTGTGATTTGATCTTATAATTCATGTCCGCTAACTGTTTGAGCAATTTTCTAACTAACAGACCCTAAATTCTGAAGGCATATATATTTTTATATCTATCTCAATTCATATGGTTAATATTTAATTCTATATATTGGTTGAATGTTTCCGTGGGATATAGAGCTAGCTTAGGGGAGAAAAACTGTAAGCAGCATAGCATGGGAAGGAGAAACAGAGTCTACAACAAAATCAAAAGCAATGACAACAACTCGAAATGCCTGCCTAAAGAGATCAATTTTTTTTTTTGATAAGTCCTGCCTAGAGAGATCATTGATGAGATACTAACAAGAGTACCTGCTAAATCCCTTGTTAGATTCAATCTAGTATGTAAGTTTTGGAAAACCATCATCTCTGATCCAAAATCTATCAAATGTCATCTTCACATGTGGGAATCCAAGCCTGCAATCATGATCGGTGAAGATTTAACCTCCCATCGCTTGCTTCTTTCGAATATCGAACACACAGACTCCACAGATTTTCCTATATGTATTCCTAATGATTACTCCAATATTTTTGCCTCTACTGATGGCTTATTACTTCTTCGAGACCATGTTCTTCCTAGTTACACCAATATAGGAGTTTTTCATGCCGACAAAGAAACAAAGCTTTGTGTTCATAATCCTGTATGAGTTGGGATTTTAAAATAGCTTATGGAAAAAGTTGTGTTTGAGTTGAAATTTTAGAATATGTACGTCAGATTTTTATATAAGTCAGTTTTTGTGGGTGAACACTATAGTTGTCAATTATATCATTTTCCTAAGAATATATAATAAAGATTCATCTCCTTCCCCACAACCACCTACATTGGAGACCGCCACCACCAATCTCTCTGTCCACTTCCGTTGCTGTCAACGTTACTCCTAGTTCTATTGCATATTTGCTGCGTAAGAATGATGATTTTTAGGCTCTATTTGTTTCGATGTAAAATATTTTTTTATTATTACCTTTTTGGTATTTGGCAAAGGTACAGATTGGTGATGAAGTCGAGTCCCGCCTATAAAATAATTTACCTAAAAGGAGCCTAAAATTAATGGATAAATTCTTTTTGTTAGGTTAATAAAAAAAATTTCATAAATATTACATCAAATATATATATATACTAGTAAAAGGCACGTGCGATTCACGTGATGAATGTTTTGTAACTTATCAAATTTTTCTTTTCATATTTTTTTAATTATTTTATAGAAATTATTTTATTTTATTTATATATATCCTTATCTAATTAGATTTTCTTTTATTAAAAAACTTATAATAAATAGATAAATACATAGGTTATATGTGATAGAGTTCTATTTTAAAATTAATTAATAATTTTTTTTATATTAAAAAATAAATACTGAAATGCTAAAATCTTTACAATTTTATACTTTATTTACATGTATTATTATATTATTATATATTTTCTTTAAATATATTATTGTCTAATGTGATAGAGTTTTATAAAAAACAAACTAGATAATTTGTGGTAGAGTTTTATGAAATAATTTGTCATTTGTGGTAGAGTTTTATAGAAATTATTTTATTTTCTTTAAATATATCCATATATAGCTTGTTTTTATTTTCTTTTATTAAAAAACTCATACTAAAAGATAATTTGAGGTACAGTTTTAGAAAAATTATTTTATTTTTTATATCAATTATACATTTGAAATTATAGGAAAATCTGATATCTATCTATCTCAATCCATATGGTTAAAATTTAATTCTATATCTTGGTTGTAATATAGAGCAAGCTAGGGCAGAAATTGTAAGCAGCATCATAGCATGGGAAGCAGAAACAGTGGCAACAACAAAATCAACAGCAACAACTTGAATTGCCTGCCAAGAGAGATCATCTATGAGATACTAACAAGAGTACCTGCTGAATCACTTGTTAGATTCAAACTAGTATGCAAGTTGTGGAAAACCATCATATCTGATCCAAATTTTATCAGCTCTCATCTTCACATATGGAAATCCAAGCCCTCATTCATGTTCACAGCAGATTTATCATCCAATCGCTTGCTTCTTTCGGATTTCCAGGACGAAGACTCCACAGATTTTCCCATACGTATTCCCAAAGGTTACCGCCATATTGTTGCCTCAACTGATGGTTTATTACTTCTGGAAGGTTCTGAACAAAAAGATGGTCGTTTAGTAACAAAGTTGTGTGTTCATAATCCTGTTACTGGTAGTCAAAAGTTGTTACCTCCAACTTTAAATCACAGAGTGATTCAGCAGGACAATTTTTCCATAGTATGTGATGCTTCAATTCAAAAATATAAAGTGGTGCTTTTTATTGATGATGGAGGTATTATCCATGACAAAATCCACATCATTACTGGCGACAATGATGTAGATCGGGGCAGCATTGAATGGAGGGAATTGATCAGTCCATCCGCATTTTGCCTCGAATTTGGTTTCAGGCCCATCACCGTGAATGGGATATTGCATTGGTTAGCGTACGCTTATGATGTTAAGAGTTTTTATAATCCTCCTCTTCTAGTGGGTTCTGTTCAATCAATGGACATTGCTAAAGAGGAATTTAGGCAAGGAATAAGCTTACCATGTCAACCAAAATCAGATTCTTGTCGCAGACTGATAAACTGCTACTTGTTAGAGATTGAGGGATCGATCTACTTCTCAAACCCCGCCACAGAAATGGAATTAGAGTTAATGGATGTTGGAGGATTTGGCTAATCATATCTGGGTTAAGAAACATAAAATATGTCTTCATTCAATTGTTGGTAAGCCTTATAGTCTGTCAAGTTTCTTAGATCCTGATTCATTTTACCCAGGTCAAATGATGGGGAATCATGAATTGATCATCGTTCATGATAATGTTACAAAGGCCGTGTTTGTTGTAGAGGAAATGGGCTGGTACTTGTACAACTTGAGGAGCCAGGAGTTGAAAGATATTGTCTGTTGGTCTCGTGGAGTGAGAGGATGTTATTTTTTAACTGGTTTTCAGGTTACTCATGTCAAAAGTCTAGTTGGTTTGAATTGAAAATTGTAGTGGAACCACTATATCTCTAAGTGGTTCTACTAAGATTTATCTCTTAACCGATTTTTCGGTTTATGCTCAAAGTGCTTGACATTGTAGTTAGAATCTTCAAATCTGAGGGTTTGCATCAAATCTTACAGGGTCAAAAAGGGAAAAAGATTGGAGAGACCGTTACGACTCGAGGAGCAATGAATTGGAAGGCATTTGCATTAGGAGCAGCAGTGATCAAAGGGCTGGAACTAATGAAGTTCCCAACTTCACTTATGTGAAAAACCTAGTTGATTGGAATTGAAATTGTCTCTGCTGTTACTCTGTGATACACCAGCTAGTGAAAATGTCTTCTCGTATCAGTAATTGCGTGAAGTACCTATGTGGTTTTTGCTGTTCTTCATCCTTGTTCAGACTTAAGATTTTCATGTGTTAAATCTAGTACCCTAAATTTCACACAAAACTATCAATCACAAGTTTACAACATATTTCATAGAATTCATTTGTTTTCTTTTTTTGTAAATATGTCTTGTTAACTTAACGGGGACTTGAACACTCAACCTCCCAAGTAGAAGAAGGCTACAAATACATTTGAATTGAAGTCTTGCCAGTAACTCAAAGTTCTATAATATATTTAATAAAAAAAAACCACAGCAAAAATGAAATCCCATTTGCATACGTAGGGCTGCAACTTGAGTGGGTTAGAGACAAGGGCTGCAACTTGAGTGGGTTAGAGACATCACCCGAGTTCAACCCGATGTATGAAATGTTCGACCCTAAACCTACCTTACTTCCAACCCTAACTACTTAACAAGCCTAACTCATCCTTAAATTTTTAAACCTGAGTTTACAACTTGAATTGAGATTTCAAGTTAGAAATCCTTAATTTTTAAACCCTAGTTGTAAACTCGGATTGAGATTCTAAGTTAGAAAGTAAATATGGAAGGTAAAGCAATTCACTGGCACATGCTAAAAATTGAATGTGATATGGAGATGGTTTTTTTATTAGATTACTCTTAAGCATAATTTATTGAAAAATATAATGCAATTTTAAAAATTGAATGTGATATGGAGATGGTTTTTTTATTAGATTACTCTTAAGCATAATTTATTAAAAAATATAATGCAAATTTTTTTAAAAAAAATTTAAAAGTTTTTTAGGAAATTAATTCTTCTTAGGGTCCTTTTGGTTAGCAAGAAATCAATGGTGGAAAGTGGAAGGAAAAAAAAGTGAAGTGAAGTTAAAGAAAAATAACTTTTTATTATGCATTTGGTAGCATGAATTTTTAATAAGAAATTTGTGAGAAAATATTGTTTCATTAGTTTGGATACAATGATTTGACATCCCAAAACTACCCTTATAAATTTTATACTAAGAAATATACGTCATGCAATAGGCATAAAAAATAATAATAATAATAATATATACAACTGGGTTTTTTATGTAAGTATATACAATCAAATACATATTTAGTATTTTTTTTTTTTTTTTTTTTTTGCATTATATATTAGGACTCTAGCTTCTTTGTGATTCTAAAAAAAAATCCTAATTTAAGGATGAGGAAATTGTAACCTAATAAGAGTCCTAATTTATCATCAATGAAGAAAACTCACATATTTTGTAAGACTGGATAAGAAAGAAGAGTTCTAATTTATCAATGAAGAAAGAAGAGTAACAACTGATGAGGGGGCATAGCAAGAAAATATAATATAATGATACAATTTTCATGGGCTTCGCGCGTTTTATGGATGAAGCATTTTGAGGAAAATCAACTAATTGCATAATCTTACTTTTCTGAAAAACTTTTCTTTTCACGCAACAAATCCTTAAATTTTTTTTGAAAAAAATTATGTTTTTTTTTCTTTTTTTAGTTAGTTCAGACTAACCAAAGTAAGTCTTAGTGTTAACATGTAATAAATTTAGATTTAGCCCCAAAAAAAAAAAAAAAGGTTGGAAAGAAAAAGGTCAATATCTAATTACTCTGTATATTATTAGTACACTCGAAATTATTTGAAAATCTGATATATATGTCAATCCATATGGTTAATATTTAATTATTTTTGTTGCATGTGTGTGGGATACGGAGCTAGGTTGGGTAGAAAAAAGGAAAATGATAACATGTCTATTATTACCTATCCATTATTGATGTATGATAGTTTTATGGACTCTTTGGAGTTGGGTTTGAGATGAGACATTTTAAGACTTTCGTTGGAGGTTCCAAACAAATGGAATTATTCTGAGTTTTGGTATTTAGTGGTAATTTTTAGTAATTAGGATTCTTATTAGTAGTTTTTAAATAAGCTGTGAGCTTTCCTATCATTAGTTTTCCATACGCTGTTAGAATTCTTTTATTATAAATATGCAGAAAATACATTGATCAATAAAAAATAATATATCATTCTTCAATTTTGAAGGTTCTTCCACCAGCAGCATAGCATAGCATGGGAAGCAGAAACAATAACCGGAATTGGCTGCCTAGAGAGATACTCTATGAGATACTAAAAAGAGTCCCTGCTGAATCACTTGTTAGATTCAAACTCGTTTGTAAATTGTGGAAAGAACAATATCTGTCTATAAAAATGAACCTTCTTCTTATGATGAGGTGTCCCAATAAAACATCAAGAAAAAAAAAAAAAAAATGATGATTATAGGCAATAAAAAAAATGACCCTTCCCTCTTTCTCTCACAAGCATAGATATATATTTTAATATCTATATCAACGACAAAACCTAGAAAAAAGGAAAATTATAATTTTTATATCAACGAAAAAAACAAAAAAACCTAGAAAAAAAAAAAATGGAAAATTTTAAATTCTATATCAATACGTGCCTAAACTCTTAAATTGCAGCTTGTTGGAAATGTAGGGATCCATCTACTTGTCAAATCCCGCCACTGATATGGAATTAGAGCTATGGATGTTGGAGGATTTGGAGAATCATATTTGGGTTATGAAACACAAAATATGCCTTGCTTTAATTGTTGGTAAGCCTGGTTCTCTCTCAAGCTTCTTAGTGAGTGATTCATTTAACCCAATTCAATAAATAGGCGTTCACAGGTGGTTGATCATCATCATTCAACATAATTCACATCGAAGGATGGTATGCTATTTATACAACTTGGCTACTCGAGTTGAAAGCTGTTGATGGTGAAGGTGAGCCAAACAATGTTACTATTATTCTGGTTTCCATATTACTCGTGTCAAAAGCCTAGTTGAAATTGATTCTGGTGGTGGTGGTGGTGGTGTTACTCTGTGAGACCACTACCGAATCATATCAACCACAAGAAGTTTAATTAATAATATCAATAGAATTTCGCATACTGATTCACTCAAATATGACTCAGCATTATAATCCATCATCATGATAAACAACATATCTTTCTATCCAAACTGCAGGTTTCACCATGGCTTTCACTTTTGTAGCAACAGTAATGCACTTATAATCATTCTTTCACTTTTCTACCAACAGTAATGCACTTATAATAGCACCACCGTTACAAGTTCCTTTGAAAATGTATATACCCATGTTGGAAAGACCAATCTTAAAATCTTTCACTATGTTGAACCAGTGTAAATGAGCATCGAGAGCCCCATAGGCCAGAGATTACAAAGAAGTGCAGCACGGAAGACTGGGTCCTTGCGGTACGAAAGACTTTCTAACACAGTTCCATCACTGACCGGAAACATGGAAATGAAGATTGTGATTTGCAGTCTCCCTCCCACCTACATCATTTGCTGATGAAGTTCAGCTGCCTGCTGAGCTAGCTCTTTCACCATGCCCTCATCGAAGAACTTGTTGATGCTCACATCTTCACTCATTCCCTGCCATCAATTCAAACCTCAACTATTTAAGCATTAAATGTGTTTGCTCACTCTATATTGCACAAAAATGCGTCTGTACTATTCTTTTTATTTTCCTACAGATAAATAGAAAATCATATTTCTCTAAAAATTTAATGTGTTCAAATGAGAAAATACCTCTGGGGGCCCTTAAAAGTGCAATTGATGCATCATAGAGCATATTTAAAAATATATATATGTGTGTGCGCATTTAAAACACCACCTTATATTTTTTCCATATATGAATCAGAGAACTTATTGTCTGAAAGGAAGAACGGAGGGAGAATACCTTTCTACGCCTTGTCTTCACCATGAACTCACGAGCCAGGTGCTGAATTGGGGCAGGCTCAAGTGGCCGCAGAACTATGCTCTTGTCAAGGGGGTCTCCAGGAACTATAGCCCAATGATCAAACACCGACAGGCAAAATGCCTGCCCTTGAGTATGATATCTCAAGTCCGTCTCAAATCCGAAAGATTCAATCACAGGTAAAAGAGCCTGCAGTTCCAATTATAATATAGAACCACATAAATATAACAGCAATAAAATGAATATTCAACTATATAATTAGAGTTAAATCATGTAAGTGTTTAAAATAATTGGTCTCAGGATTTCTAATGAAATATATATATGGATTGGCAAGCAATTAACATGGCAGCCCAACTACTTGGGAACAGCTGCATAAAACTGTTCAACTTTAGCCCAACTTCTCGGGAAGCTACATAAAATTGTTCAACTCTTCTCCGAAAATGAAACTGGAGATATTTTCTATATTGTCCGATCAAAACTCTCATTAGGAAAAAGACTACCAAGTTGTATGATTGTTATATGTGTCATCAATATCCATCTCTCTCATGGGGAACAATTTAGGCTGTTAAAAATAGTAAGCAAAAACTGTAATGATGAAGGCAACTTTAGCAACCAAACCTTGACAATATAAGCTGGAGTCCCTGGTTGAGGAACATCGGCTGTAACATGCCCACGTCTGCGTGACAACACTGTGTAGATAGCAGTAACACAGTCCATAGGTGTTTGTATCTGAAAAGGCAACATTGCATTCTTTAGTTTTTAACATCAACTTGACATGAAATGGGGAAAAACAAAAAGTTTCCCTTTTTCAACAAGATAATCAAATCTCACCCTATTTCTTGTTTTTCAGAATATTCTAGGCCCAAAGGCACCTTAAAGAACTTGTATTAATAAAAGTTCCACTGGACCTCAAGAAATCAATAAATGTTATTTAATAGTTTCTACTTTCAAGAAATTTTATTTCAATGTGATGTTAACAGGTATCAAATGCTACTGGAAGAAGTTATAAGGTCATTAAAGGATTGAAAAATGAACTTTGTTTGCCTCGAGTAGGTTAAAAGAAGCCATCTCTATGTGCATCTCCATGAAATGGTTTCTATAGTCAGAATATAACCTTCATTAGATAATTTGTAGTACCAAGTTTTTACCTCTACATAGTATACTGGTTCCATAAGCCGTGGGGTAGCCATAAGGAAAGAAGAGTATGCCACACGTCGAGCTGTTGGAATGATCTGCCCTGATCCCCGATTCAAGGGCTCCTTTGCAATATTAGCATCAACTATTTTGAACTTAACATTTCTGATGGGCTCGTCACATAGGGGTCCTTCTCGTGCACCCCATTGAAATCTGTCCAGAATAGGATAGTCCCGTCATCAAGACGCAGAAAATGGAAACTACGAAGAGGAAATGAAGATTTAAAATTAACTTACCCTTGCACGATTGAATCTCTAACCGCATTCAGCATGCTTTTGTCTACTTCATTTGAGAGTGTGTCATCTAATAGAATGTTAGGTCCCTACAAGTATGACATTTATCAGATGGGAACATGAACAGTTGTCACACGAAAGCAAACTTTAATCAAGAATATATGAGGCTAGGATTATACTGAATAGAGATGATCAAACTAGCAGTCTTTGGAAGTTTATAAACAACATAATTGTTTTGTCCTGTCAAATTTACCAGGTCCTGCATCCACATAAAACATTTATATTACCTGCTTATCAGGCCCAAATGCCCAAATTGAACGTGCGGCAAGCAGATCCCAGTCATATTTTGTTTTAAAGAAGTCTCCAATCTTCTTTCGGGGCCAATCAGTGCTCACAACACCATTTTCAATGTCCTCAGCAAGTCCTCTCTCCAATGGCTCTGCAATCTAGAGAACAGAACTAAATAATTATATTGCATGAACTAGAAAACATAAAATTACAAATCACCTCAAGATCAAAAGAGAATCAGATGGCATTCATACCATTGTAATTTTATTTTTCTTGTTGGGTGTTTCAGCAAAACATTTCATTGATGAAGACTCAACCACTGTTTCACAAAACGAGACAACTGGATCTGCCACCTACATTTCATGTAAAGCATAAGTAGGAAAAATTATGCTCAACAAAAGCAAGAAAATTTTTTTTTTTTGGAAGTTTCTCAATACCTTGACTTCCACTTCCGAATAAAGCTCCCTGAGGTCCTTCATTATAGAATCTAAATACAACTCTCCTGTGCCTAAAATGGTATGCTCCCCAGACTCCTCAACTTTGGTTATGGCTAGAGGATAGCTCTTGCTAATCTTTCTAAGACCCTCTACCATTTTGGGCAACTCACTTGGATTCAAAGGCTCTGTAGCTGTTTTCACCACTGGAAGGGTATTAAACTGAAGAGGCCGGAATATATACACGTCCTCGTCATAATCCAGATTACACAGTGTGGCAGTCTTCATAATCGAAGCATCCACCCCTTCAATCAGAACCCAAGAACCAGGAGGAGCCTTGCTTATGGGTATTCTATAACGAGCTTGGTAGACCCATAATTTTGTTACTTCTTTTACCGTCATGTCCTCTTCATCATCTGGTGAATAGCCTTCTCCCAAAACCCGCAAAGTCTGCCCTGTCTGTATTTCACCACTATATACCCTACCAAAAGCATCAAAAACGCTACAATCTGATTTTGGGTACAGTTTCGTCACATTAACCATAAGGGGGCCAGAAGGATCACAATCTTCCATAGCTTTGTAAATTTCAGAGTCCTTAGGCCCAGTATAAATATGTTCAACCTTCCTACTGGCAGCATCTTTTGCAGAAGGAATGTGATGAACCAGCATATCGGTAAAGCCTGTGGCTGAACCAAAAACTGAGCTACAAGCCAACCTTAGCAAAGGTCTAACATTTAACTTGTAAGCTGCATTGCTGAGAGTCACACCAAGTTCTGCAAGAGTTGCCTCCACACTCTTCTTATGTTCTCCAATTACTTGGCTGTATATTTTGTAGAGGGGTTCAAGCACAAACTGGACAAATGATCTTTCTGCTCCACCAGCAGGTTGTTTCTTCCTAAAAACTCTGGCATCAGCATCATAGTAAAAATCTCCCCAAAGACGAGATGCAAACTTATTAGCATCAAATGGAATACCATGGAGCTTGACATATAGCTTAGCAAAAGATTGCAAGGTAAAGGACCATCCAGCATTAGCACTAGCAAAACAAACATTTCCGATAGCTGGATCAATAATTTGAACATCTCCAGCAGTTGACGAAGCTGCAGATATGAGGTTATTGATGATTTCTATTGTATGCCTGAGCTTATGGTAAGCATCCTTCGGGGGCAACCTAAGTTCAGTTATTAGCCTGTCAACCTAAAAAAATAATTAGAATAAGTAGATATTAAATTAAAAGAAAAATTGAAACCATTTGTTTGTGGCAACCCACTGCTTTATATAAAAATCAAATGAATAATATAAGCATGGTTTCAGGAAATTACCTTATTGATCACAACAACAATAGGAAGGCGTTCTTGAATGGCATGGCGTATAGCCCTCTCTGTATTTACCTGTTCATTTAATGAATAGAAAATTAATCATAAGAAGCGGTTGTACGATGTTCATAATCAATACTAACAATGTTATGATTACAAAATGCTGCTATAACAAAATTATCATATAAAGAAACTGTTTCCACAAGGAAGTTCAATCCAAAAGTGGTCTCAGATAGCAGAGCAGAATACACAGTTCCTGCCAATAATTGCACTGTAATCCATAGCGGACCCAAAATTCAAAAAATGACTACATAAAAGCCCAAAACAAGGGAATAAAGCAAAAACTCTAAGTACTAAGCCATGGAAATTTTTGTAATGGAAGTATTGATCCATGTGAAGGACCCAAAGGAAAGTTCCAAATGTTAACTATAGTTCTAGACCCTTCGAAAGTAAAGCATGTTCCCATATCTTTCCTTTGGTCTCATTATATTGTCAAACATTGTATGCCATCCAGACAAGGAATAGATAAACTATTAGGAGAAAAACATGAGAAATCTTGGCAATATATCCATGACATATCAAAAATTAGGCAATCAAACACTAATGATTCAAGGAAATCACATACTATGAAACCAACACTATGTTGCAACAAATGATATATCACTGGATAGAATACTATTAACAACCATCTACTCCAAAAGCTTAAGCTTTTTTAGAAGGTGTAATTTTACTATTTAAATCCCCCTCACATGTGGTCTTCTTTTGGTCCAACACATGTTTCAATTTTAATTATCAGGGTAACGGTGAAGTTTGAACACAGGACCTTGCTTGCTCTAATACCATTTTAACAACCACCTACTCCAAAAGCTTAAGCATTTAGAGAGGATGTAACTTTAATATTTAAATCCTTCAACAAATACCAGTGCCTTTTTGTTAAATTTTGCAATTTCTCAAGAGTAATATACAATAATACAATAATAAAAGAAATATATCAGATAATATACACGTTAGATAATACCCACATTATGTCAGTCAGTTCCATGCTCGTTTCATAGTTTTCTCAGCACTCGGTAATATAAATAATGTTAAATATGTAATTCTGTAGTTAATGGCTAAGAAATACCCACAAATGACCAATTAGATTATCCCAGTTCGTGCATCCAAGTATCAGAGTAGCACATATTGACAATTAACAAATACTGTAACAAGTATCAAATGAAAGTGTTGATACCGCCGAATATGAAACTAGAAAAAACTAAATTAAGACATGAAAACATACATGCAGTGATAAAAGGAAGAAACTTGTTTTAATAGAATGCACTACAAAGACAAGCAGAACAAAAAATAGTAATACTAATAAATTGTCAGACGAGCAAGTTAGTCAGACAAGCTCAAAAGCTGAGGACGAATACGTCAGCCTTCACGCTACTTTGTCAGCACACATTCATGTCATACAGATTTCTTAATGACTATTATTGTGGTGGGTTATAAAACAATAAAAAGAGTGCAATATAAAATAATTACCATAACTCCTTCAGCAGCATCTACAATTAACACAGCACCATCAGCAAGCCTTAGAGCAGCTGTCATTTCGTCAGAGAAGTTGACATGTCCAGGCGTATCCATGATGTTGCAAAGATATGATTTTGAATTGCTATCCTCGAGAACAAGTGACATTGGAACTGCCTTGATTGATATTCTCCTCTCTTGCTCATCAATTCTTGTATCAGTGTACCTCATATGCTTCTCACTATTTTGATCAAAGGTTGAAATATGATGGGTTTGCTCAACCAGCATATCCATAAACAGGGTCTTCCCATGCTGTAAGTGTCCCACTAGGGCAACATTACGAACCAAAGAAGGGTTTGACATAAGACCCAAAAGAAACTGTGTTGACACATAAGTGGAGGAATCCTTAACCCCCAACTCAAACTTAATATTCCTGACTGGTTTAATTATGGGTTGTTCGAGGGGAAGCTCATCTTCATCCATGACTAGGGTTTCAACTTCTTCACCATAAACCTCTTCCGCAGTCGGGTAGTACTTTTTGTCCTCAGCAAGGACAATCTGGTTATCCATATCGATATCGTTAGTGGTAGTTATCCACCCATTGGATGCACCAGCTGCGTCCTCATCATCTGATACATCTGCCTCATCAATGGGCTTGTCAGGGAGATCTTCATCTTCATCATCCCTATCACTCTCCTGATCAGACTCAATTTCTGGTCCAATATAGTTGCCAAACTCATCGTATAAGCTATCATCCATTGTTCTCTTAAACCTGGCATATCAAACAAACAATCAGTTAAATAACACAACCTCCATATTGTGCAAGTTCATTAATTTTTTTGGTCAACATTTACCAAGTCCCTTCACAAACCAGGGCGTTTTCTTCTCTCAAAATCAATAAATTACTCCTAAATAGCTAAAGACACCATGCCTATAAGTTTGATGTTTCACTATTTTCAGGTTTAAGGAAAAAATTAGCATGGGATTCTGATTTTAATAACTGTACCAACTGAGATTATCTTTTTCACTGTTTTCCAGAGAAAAAAAAAAAAAGGCATTCCTTCCATGAATATTCAAAAATTTAAAGAAGATTTATTTCTCTCTCTCTTTCTTGATCTACCGTAACCTATATTATATAATAGATTGACAATACAACAAAGGATATATAATGAGAGAGAGCTTACTTGAAGAGTATATAACTACGAGGAGTTGTTTACCACAACCGAATGTTGCGAAGACGGATCGGTGAGGGTTTACAGGGCTTTCTAGAGTGTGCGAACTGCCAAATCTATAGAGAGAGAGAGCGCGCGCTTACTTGAAGGGTATAGAACTACAACAAGTCGTTTACCACAGCCGAATGTTGTAAATACTGACATGTTGCCCCTAAGGCGGTGCTAACGAAACGAGTTTGATATTATTCGGATGAAACTGACTTCAGCATAAATCGGATCAAACTAGTCTCAAAAAAAAAAAAAAAAAAAAACGAGATTAAAGTCTCTAAACCTAATCAGTTCGAACTGAACAGGGCGTCAGGGCACAGTGAGTGAATGTGTTTGTGTGGCCTAGTGTGTGTGTGAGAGAGATCAACAGAGTGTTGAGTGCGTGTGTGAAAATATGTACAGAGAACAAAGAAGAGAGAGAGGAACTCACCGGAAAAGATGAAGGCGTCGTCTCTGATTTTGGAACAAGGGAGTCGCGTTGGTTTGACCGGCCGGATAGAGTCGCTCGAGACGGTGGATGAGACAGTGGTGTGCGGGTGATGCGTACCTAGGGCAAGATTTATTATCACGTTTCGGTTCAGTTGGTCCACATTTGTTTTTCTTGACCCAATTCGAATTGAAACCGGCTAGTACGATTTCTAACCAAACCGCACTCGTGCCAAACGGCCCAAACCTGACCAAACTATACGGATTGGGTCAAGGTAACATATGGGCTCTGTGCCCAAGCCCGTGATTGTGGATAGTATTGACTACTTGTGAAATAGTAACAAAATGAAAATTTTATTTAGAGCATCCGGTATGCATTTATACACCTTCTCTATCTATTTTTTTTTTAAATAGAGTGTCACATAAGTATTGTTTAATAAAAAATGCTTACATGATACTCTATTTTTTTAATAAAAATTGTTCTAAGGTATGCAACATCAGTATCTCATTATTCAAAGGTGGGCCATCACCGGCTATAGCTAATTCTATCTAGCTTGTGTGGTAGATAGTGGGCCTTCTTTCATTCTCAGCCAATTAAAGAAAGAACAAAAATTTTAGCGAATTGTCCATTGCCCTCTCTGTCTGTAGATAAGTCCATGGAAAGTAATTGTAGAGTCCACAAAAAAGGCTCTCTATTTCCATCTGCGTACCGATCCCCTCCCACTCTACACTGACACACAGCCACTCTAAAGTGGCTTGCGCCCTGATGCTCTTTTGGATATGTCTTGTGTTTAATCAAATTTTTTAAAAAATTAGCCTGTCTTGATTTGATTGATGCCGTTAGCGAGACCTTTTCAATACACTCAAGTGTAATTCAACGTGAAAATTAAATTAAAGATTATAGTTGTAAATAAAAAATAATAATAGCGAATGATATTTTGCTATTTAATACTATAATCAATAGTGCAATACTAAGCAAGCAAGCAATCAAACAAACAAAAAACTAAACCTTATAATCTGACACTGAATTTAGACAAAAATTAATTTAATGTATAAACTAGTTTTCCTCTAAATTTAATTTCAAAATCTAAAATAACTTAAAATGAGGTGAGGTAGCATGTGTGACTAGTGTGTGTGTGTGTATATATTAGGCCAACTGTTTATTTGGAATAAAGTGTTGGGTGATGAAAATACTACATTATACAAGTGACTATAAAATGTAAGATTAGTAAAGAACATGTGTGGAAAAAAAAAAAAAATAGACTATTAATAAAAATTTTGAAGAAAAGTAGATTTAGGTGAGATAATTATTTACAACATAGATCTAAAGACGTATTGGTTAAAAAAGAAAGAATTGTTTGTTTATTCAATTAGGACCAGATCGACAAAAATATTAATGAGATGGTGAGATTGAGTAGTTAAAAATGACATAAAAAAATTAAATATGCGAACCAAACATAGTTCACTCCAAAATAACATTCTTTCTTATTTCGAAAGGAGCTCTCTTTTGATAAAAGTTATGAATTCTTTTTATTTAGCAACTGAATTAAAATATACATACTTTTTACAATATCTACAAAGATAAATAAAATATTTAAAACAAAATTTTCAATCAACTGCTCAATAAGAAGAGTTTATGACTCAGTCTTTTAGTCTTTCAAATAATTTGTTGTCCTAAGGTTCATACAAATTCTTTTTCATTTTTTGCTTTTCTTTTTAAAGGCACTTGCTTTGTAGCTGTAAATAATTGACCGAAAATCAAAGCAAAAAGAAAAGTGAAGCATGATTTTGAAGAATTATGTGAAAGGAGCAAGTCAAAAGAAATAAAGTTTACAATTAAAGTACATGTTTACAACCAAAAGTGCTCCAATAAAGGACTAAAACACGACAAGAGATTGTCTATTTATCTAGATAAAATTGTTCCATACTTTGCCATGCATGTGTGTGAACTTATTAAAGGAAAATTAAAATTTTAATAGTCGTTTAGTTATATAAAATTATAATAAAAAAATTATGGGAAAATATTATTCTGTTAATTTTAATAATCAAAATAAATTAATAATATTAATAATTATACTTGCTAAAATTACATTTATGATTTCAAATACTATAAAAATTAAATAAATTTATGTTGGATCAATCCCTTTTATATCACCAATTGTTTATATCCATTTTTAGTTTATGATAATAATAATGAATGATGGATTATTAAAATACTTATAATATAATGAATTTTATCAAATTTTAATTGTTTATGTACGAGAAAGGCTTCATAATTTTTTTTAATGTTAATCTTAGACTCTAACTTCAAAAATATATGAAAAGGTACATGAATAAGTCTATCAACAATTAAACACGTTGAGTCACCAACATAATAGAAAATTAAAATATAGAGGTGCAAATATCACGAGGAACTAAAATTTGGTTGTGTTTTATATAGAAACTTTTTGGAGGAAAATCAACCACTGCAGAAATTGTACTTGCTGTTTTTTTTTTGTTTCTTTTTCTTTTTCTTTCTTTTCATCATACCCAAACTCATAAAAACTTTATTTTTTTTCTATTTCTTTTCCTTTTCTACTGGTTCCATATATCAAATCGACACTAATCATTTTATTGTGTCATTTCTCACGCAAACTCGTATAAAGTTAGGTGCAGTGAAGAGTTATTAATATGCACCATATAACTATGCAACCAAATAAATTTAATGATAAATGATAAATATATATAAATTTAAAGATAAATAACTAATATATATGGAGTATAACATACACAGTATATTGTAATTAAATAATATATATATATATATATATATATATAATTTTAATGTAATCCGGTTGCTATATGATTGAATCATTTTAAATTATCATTTATTGAAATAGCAAATTATTAAATTTTTTATTTCATTTATACGAGGATAATATCGGAATCAAAATCCATTCACAGGTATGATTAAAAATTGTTTGGTTGGTAAATAGTACTGTAGCAAACAAAAGGAAATACTGCTAATCTATAGGAAATTTTTATATGAATTTTTATTGTCCTTCATGCCATCTTTGTTTTGAAAATGCTTTCAAATTTTAATTTCATTTTTAAATTCCGGAGAGAAAATCTATGAGGAAATTATTTTATTATAAGCTTGGTCAAAAAATCAATCGGACGGCTGCAAAGAAGAACAACGAACATCAACGGTTCTGATATCTCCCTGCAAACCGTGTTGAAAAATCAAACATAATTCACGTGATTTTGACTAAAGTCTCTGCTACCAGGCTTACACCACTGTTTCATTATATTATATTATATACTGAAAAACAACTTGCCCGAAAATTATCTGATAATTGCCCGACAACTACCAAAAGCATCCGACAACTGCCCGAAATCTCGGCGGGCAGGTTCAAATTCGAAGGCCACTCCAATACTTTAGATATTACCTCTGGCTTTACCCACACTCCCCGTCCCAACCCATCGCCACTTGCACCACCACCTCCTCCGTGGGCGGTGGCGCGTGAGTGACGATCGGGGCACCTCCACTGATGCTGAGAGAATATAGGAGGAAATGGGTCAGGGGCTGAGTTGCAGAGAAAGCCATGGTCGTGGTCTGTTCAGTGCAGTGCAAAATGGAGAGTTGGAAAGAGTTGAAGCAATGTTGGAGGAAGACACGAATGTGTTGGAAAGGACCATTGCTCATGGTCGACTCTCTGCACTGCATGTAGCTGCTGCAAATGGTCAGATCCAGGTGGGTTTTGTGTATTTTCTTTTGGATTGTTAATTTTGATTTGGATTTTCATATTTTCTTTTCTGGGGATTGTTTTCTTGGCATATTTCTTGATGGTTCTTTGTGATTTTTGCATTTGGTGCTTGGTTTTGATGATGGGTAGGTTCTTTCTATGCTTTTGGATCGGTCTGTTAACCCAGATGCCGTAAATCGCCACAAACAGGTAATTTCCACACACCCAAACTCATTATGAATGATGCATGTATACATCTATAATTTGGTATTATATAACCTCTATTATTGACCATATATAATCTTGAACCTTCCTTTCTATCTCGTGTATATGATAATTAATACATGTGTATTTGTTTATTTGTCTGTGATTGTTTTAGACCCCTTTAATGTTAGCTGCAATGCATGGGAAAATTTCCTGTGTGGAAAGGCTTATTCAAGCAGGAGCAAATGTATGCCAATTGTGTTTCTCTCCTGCTCTCTCTTCAGATTTCCCGATTGATTATGTTGTAATGGAAGGATTTATGATGGGTTGCTTTTGAAATTTATCAGATTTTAATGTTTGATTCTCTGAATGGAAGAACCTGTTTGCATTATGCTGCTTATTATGGCCATTCAGATTGTCTGCAAGCTATTCTTTCTGCTGCCCGTTCAACCCCCGTTGCAGCTTCCTGGTGACCCTCTCTCACTCTAATCTCTGTCACAAACAAACACAAGTATATATCTGTGTTCTAATATCAATTAAATTCTAATCTTACTGTATTATTTGGTTTGGTTTGGATTCAATGGCAGGGGATTTGCAAGATTTGTGAATGTAAGGGATGGAAATGGAGCGACCCCCCTGCACTTGGCAGCCCGACAAGGGCGCCCAGAGTGTGTTCATACTCTCTTAAACAGTGGCGCGCTAGTTTGTGTTTCCACAGGCGGATATGGGTAACAATCTTGATGAAGCTCTTTATGCATTGTAGAGGCAGTGCTATTTTGAATTTCAAGTTGATAAAAGTCCCACTTGCAGCTACCCAGGGAGTACTCCACTTCATATGGCAGCTCGTGGAGGTTCTCTGGACTGTGTGCGGGAATTACTTGCTTGGGGCGCAGATCGCCTGCAACGAGATTCATCTGGGTAAGACTTTGAATTTAAAATTTTGCTAAACATAAATTGTGCAATATGGTAGTCTAGGTTAACTTGGTCAATTTTAAGCTTCTTGTTGGTGAAATCAATTTTTATCCCTTGATCTCTGTCAAACAAATTCTAGAATGCTGTTAGGACTGAAGATGAGAATAAAAGTTGAAGCATAAAGTAGATCCCCTGGGAATTCCCTTTTTGCAAAATTGAACTTGCTAAAATTTAAAAGTTTCTTTAGTGGTCAAACTATATCTTCCTCTAAGATCAATTACTATGGTAACCAAGACTAATTGGGTTCAAAGTTATAATGAGGAGGGGAAGGTAAAAGAGAATGTGGTTAGAGACTTGAGAATAATATGATTTAGAAGAATATGTTATGACACTCAGAAGGATTTATCGAGCTGACTTCAAGAACTTGCAGAACTCTTTTTGTGTATGTTCGCTGTAAATTGATTTTGGTGATTTATTGTATATCTAGCACACACATACTTAATTCTTACTCTTTTGGTTCCATTCTACATCCTGATTGTGGGAGGTTTCTTCTGTGTAATTGATGAGAAAAGTTGTCAACTGTGAACATTTGCATGTAAAACTAATCATTATCAGATGGGAACTCTGCAGGAGAATGCCTTACATGGTTGCCCTGAAGAACAAGCATGGAGCATGTGCAGCATTGTTGAATCCTTCATCTCCGGAGCCTCTCGTTTGGCCATCGCCTTTGAAGTTATTTACTGAGCTCAATCCGGAAGCAAAAGCTCTGTTAGAAAAAGCCCTAATGGAGGCAAACAGAGAGAGGGAAAAAGCCATCTTCAAGGAGACAGTCTACTCACTTCCATCATCTTTGCAGTCTGGTTTTGAGTCTGGCGATGACATGTCTGAGGTATTATAAATTTTGTATTAAATTCTTATTTTTTCCTTGCGTGTGTGTGTGTGTGTATACACATAACAGACCAGTTCTATGCCTTTACATGGGAATTATGTTTGGCAGAAATATGTATCCCAAAGGTTCAGATGCAATGGAACAAGCTTCCTAATGTTCAATAAATTTTTTTTTTTTCTTTTCTAAACAAGCTTCCTAATGATTCTCCTTTGATTTTTATGTCATGTGACTCTTATATTTGTGAAAGATTCCCTTAACAATTTAAGAAGTTGTTCCTACTATCTTGCTCAGCTTTGAGAGGAATGCATCCACCGCACTAGGAAGCATGTGGATCACCACCTTACCAGAGCTACTGACATTTTTAAACATACTCTATTTATACTTTTTGTTATGATAATGAATCGTGAATGAAAAAAAAAAAAAAAGAGCTTTGAGTAATTTTTTTTTTATTTTTTAAAGAAGTTTGGCTTTTCTTTAAATCTATATCTATCCTGATCTATTTCCTACATATCTTCAAAATATGCACCTATTTTTCTAGATTACACCTTATGCTAAAAAAGACAGTATCTTTTCTTTAAATCTGCATTATGCTTTTCCTATCAATCTTCAAAGTATATACATTGTTATTCACGGGGAAGAGTACTTCTCAACAGGCCAGCGACGTCGAGCTATGCTGCATCTGCTTTGATCAGGTCTGCACAATTGAGGTTAAAAATTGTGGCCACCAGATGTGTGCCTCTTGCACTCTAGCTCTGTGCTGTCACAACAAACCCAACTCCGTCTCTGCTTGCCCAAAGGCCCCAGTCTGCCCCTTTTGTCGAAGCAGCATTACTCAACTAGTTGTTGCCGAGGTCAAAATAAACAACAGCAGAGAACTAGAATTCAGTCCGTCAAGGCCAAGTAGATCAAGGAAGTCTTTTAACATCAGTGAGGGCAGCAGCAGCTTCAAGGGTTTGTCAACCATGAGCTCATTTGGGAGGATGAGTGGCCGAAATTCTGGAAAAGTTTCTGCTGAAAATGAAGGGATTGATAAGATTTAAAAATTGGAACACACAGATGCATGAGCCGATGACATTCATTTCTGATCCCGCCACAACAAGGTACACATGGATGCATGGCGTTCTTTAATTCCTTCAGAATCTATACCCATTGAGTGTGTATTTGAAACTCCATTCTGAATGTACTGTCGATTTTTAAGAGCATATGAGGGGTATACGAGTTAACTAAAAGGCCTTTTCACAAGTTCTAATTGGTGGTTTTGGTTCGGTGCAGTATTGTAGTTGTAATGTGCTTCAATGTGGTTTGAATAAGCAGGAACCCAGTTGCAGGCCTGCTAACTGAATACAACACAGTTATTGGTTTTCTTATGAGGCCAAGCTGCATCTGATAGTTGCTTAACCATTTTACACTATTCTCATTTTGCTATTTGGAAACAATGCTATATGTATATATACCATTATTGTTTGTATATGCCATTTGTTTATGTTTAACAAATAGCCATTTCTTCTAATTTTTTTCCCTTACTGTTTGAAATCTATTGAAGTGCATAAGTCAAAACTCTCAAGGTCAAATTGGTTTGTGTACCCTTCTGCACCTATCAAGTCGAGTTGTCGGGACATTTTTAGATTCTTTGTTTTTGAGTACTTCTACTAGTCTTGAGTACAAGCAGAGTATATGTCTTGTGCACGCATTAAATTTCTGATTACTTTTTACAGCTAAGTGCATTTGTATTATTTGTATATGTAACACAACATGTATTTACAAGCTTTGGCAATCAATTCATCGTTAGGGTTTCCATATTTTGCATTATGTGGTTGTAATTTCCGTGCAAGGCTTTTTTCTGCTGTAAATTGACTATGTGCGGAATGGAAGCATAAGATTCACGTAGCCGAGCGATGTAATTGGGAAAGGCTCGGTTGTTGTTGGATTTCTGAAGTGGTGATTCTTGACTATTGCTGCCACAAGAACTGGTCGAAATAATTTCCTTGTATGCATAAGGTTCTGTGATTGTGTAAAGAGAGAAGCTATGGTTTCTAATGCCAGATTTATGGGCTCTGATTAGTTCTTGAACCAAAACCACTCCAAACTGAAATTCCAATGTGGGTTTTTGGCACAACAACTTCCAAACTGAACTTTTTCTCAGTAACTGGTCAAGTCTTGTATACATATATTACAGAAAATTATCTAAACTTAAAATTCTTATACTAGTTATACCTAGGGAAAAAAAAATATGATACTAGTTATTGTCTTTCTATTGACAAATAATACAATTCATTGCTCTGTTCCCATCCATCCAAGTCCAAACAATAGAATGAATTAATCTTCTCTCCTTTCTTTTGTTTCTTAACTTCTATGGTAAATATTATTTTACTTTTTCTTTAAATATGAGTTTAGATTCTCTACCGCACAACACACGTTTGTTAGTTTGTTAGTGTGATTTGTAATATACACGGCATGTGTGCTTGATTGTGGCCGTGCCCTATAGCATGTCCAAAGAACGAGCTTTATAGTATTAGTTAACCTAATTAATACCTATATTTCTTTTTTTTTTAAATAAGTTTTGAAAAAGATTTTTGAAGAACAGTTAACTTATAAATGAGCTTTTTTAAAAAAGTATTAATTTTTGGGTAAAGATGTACTGTAAAAAACTTAATTAGATAAAAAGAAGTCTATTCTTAGTATATTCATGGAACTCAACTATGCTCAATTGATGAAATATAGAGTGGGACCATATTTTATTCAGTAGGTTTCATCCACAACACGAGACCCATGTCCCTGCTTACTGTACGCATAATGCGTATGCTATACAGTATCCAGTTCACACTATATGTGTTCTTCAAGAAGTCAGAGCAACAATGCGAGTACCCAGCCAGACCATAATCTTATCCGTCACCTACTCCCCTGCTTATCCTTCACCCACCCCCTTGAAGCGCTTCAACGCCGCTCTCTCGAACCGTTGAAACGGAGTACACGAGACTTGTTCTTCTTCGTCATCCTCTCCACCACCTCCGATCAAATCCCGATCCTCGTCGAGATCAACAGCTCCACCAACACTACTCCTCCATTTCATTCCTTTCTCTCTCCTCAAATCCTCTGCGAACACTTTCAATCCATCAATTGGCCATTCAAACTCTCTCTTCAATTTCAAACCTCCATCTCTTTTGCTCTTGCCGCCAATTTTCCTACGAATTGCAGAGAGAAGAACCGGATCCAAGTAATCCTCAAGCCTCTTGTTCGTCACTTCTCTCTTCGCGCCTTCTCGCTTTATCCTCTGAAACTCCGTCGAATTCACATCATCCCTGTAAAAAAAAAAAAAAAAAATACATGAAATAAAAAAGAAAATGATGTTGAATGAAATTTATTGAGATCATGTATGGAGAATTTGAGTACCAAGGTGTGATAATGGTGGTGGATGAGTGAGAGTGCAGAGAGGTGGTAGGTCGAACGAGGCGTCTTTGGATCTGTTCGACTGTAGCGAGAGGGCTCGAACCCTCGCCTCTGCCTTCGTCTTCCATTATTTCCATATGAGAGTTTCTCTCACTGTTCAGTTGATTTTCAATTTCACTGGCACTAGATTAGTAGAATTAAAAGTAGGATTGTAGAATTTCATCTTCCTACTTCTAAATTTATTTGGATATATATAATTCATTTTGAAAAATTTAATTTAATCATTTTAAATATAAAATAAACTGTATTTCTTTAGCTGATTACATTAAAAAAATAAAAAAATAAAAATAAAAATTAGAGTCCTTGACTTCACTATTATTAATTTTTGTTCTTTCCCTCTCTCATTTGTTATTTTTTTAACTAAAAAGTATACTTTCCAACTAAGTATTTTTATCTATCTATTTCTATATTATTTTTATTTTATTTTATTTGTTTAGGCTTCACTCTAATTTCTTCCTTAAACTTTACTTGAATGTTATGTTGATACTTTTGTGGTGTTTGATGGGTGTCTTATTATATTTTAATGTTAATTAATTTTTAAAAGATTGTCTCCTATCGGAAATATTTAATTTAAAAAGTTAGTTTGAATTTTTTTTTAATACTCTTATAAAATTTTACAATCCCACGTCTGCAATCTCAGTTTTATAATTATCAATTTTAATCCAAATCATTTTATTTTTAACTATATACCGACAAAAATATGAAAGAAAAAAAGTGATTGAAAAAGACTAAGCAATTTGCATTATACAATATATCAATCTAATTAATGTAAGTGATTGAAAAAGACTCGAGTACATGTATTTAGAGCTGTTATTAATTTCTTGTACTTTTCATTAATAAAATGCTATTAACATTTACTAGAATGTGAATTATTGTAAGTCTAGAATGTGGAGTGATGGATAATAATATGGTTGAGTTACTACCTATATTTATGGGTGAAGTCTCAACAATGTTACCATTAAGGGTTAAGATGTTTACAAATGTAGCCTATTCAATTATAAGTAGAAATTGAGTTTAAGAATGCTCCAATACCCAATATATTTCTAAAATACGAGTTACATCCAAAATAAATGGTTAGAATATTTAAAAACAATGGAAGAAGTGGAAGGTAAATTTTATTTATTTTGTTTTGTAGTTTTTGTTGAAATTGATTTTTCAACCACCTTAATCCAATTACTCTTAACAATTTATGTGGTAATTCATTAATTTCAGCTTTCATGTTTTTTTTTGGGGATAATTTCACCGACACCCCCAATAGTTTAGCCAAATATCAGTCTAAAATATCTTTCGAAAATAACTATCACTCACGTTACAAACGTTTGCTCCGTTTTTCACTCACACCCCAAAAGTTAGTTTACATGTATGTCAGACCACTTTTTACATGTAAAAAGACATTCTTACCCTTTGACCTTAGTGTGACCCTTGACTTTGGTCTACTCTCATTTTTTTAATTTATTTTTTTCCAAAATATCATTGTTAAAAGACAATATGGCCCCTTAAAAATTTGTAAATTTACAAATTATATTATATATACAGGCAGACATATATATACCCCTATAAACACACACACCGAGACATATATATATATATACTCCTATATACACACAGAGACATATATGTATATATACACACACACACACAAGCACAACACCACCACCGACACCGGCGAGGATGTCGGCACAAGAGACAGCAGCGTTGGCAGCCGAATCGTGGTGGCTGAGCACCAAACCACCCTCTCCAACCTCACCAACCGTCTTTCCAAAACCCTTCTCAGTAGCCAATCCGGCCGCCGCAACCCAAAATTCTTCTCACCTTCGTCTCTTTCGGTTACCGTCGAAACCCGAATCGGCCTCTACAACTGCCAATTGGGACTATATATATATATATATATCGTCGCCTCCCTCACCCTCTAACTCCCAGACCAGTCTCTCTCCACCACCACAACCACCACCAACATCACCGTTCCTCTTTCTCCACCACCACAACACCGTTCCTCTCTCTCCCTACCACCACCACAACCACCGATTCTATAACCCAACCACCAAAATTAAAACAGGAAGATGCCATCACAGCCATCGACTTTGTTTTGTGAAATTAGGTTCAATTAGTGAAAAAAAAATAGGTTCAATCAAACACATTGAATCTTTGTTAACAGTAACCCTGAAGCGTCAACTTTCAAAATTAGTTTCAATGAAACACATTGAAGCTTCATCTTCCAGAATTTGCAGAAGCTTCATTAACAGGAACCCTTGATTTCTCTGAACGGTGGCCGTTTTGTTTCTCGTATAAAGCATCACTCAAAGCCCTAATTCGAAGTCCAAACCAGTCCAATTCGTTCAATTTCGCTTAGACATTTTTTTTTTCATTCGATTCATTCAATTCCAAGCGCCATCCAATTATAATACCAAATTGGTGTGGACAATTCTGGGAAATTTAAAGCGTTAGATTCATTGATTGTGTATGGGCATGGGAAGGGTTTACAGAGAAACCTCCAAGCCCTCGTCGTCTTCATCGCCTCCGGCACCAAAGGTGACTGATGTCCTCATTTAGATGTCTTATTCGTCGGAGAGATGATGAAGTTACAGATTTTATTTGTGGTATAATTGTCAGGGGTATAATTGTCTTTTAACTAATCTAATATTTTGAAACATATGTTATTTAAAAAATAGGGGCAAATTTGTCTTTTCCCATGCCTTTAACGGAGACTGTGACGGAAAAACAAAAATGGACCTAACTAATAGTTATTTTCAAAAGATGTTTTAGACTGATATTTGGCCAAACTAATGGGGTGCCAGTGAAATTATTATTTTTTATTTTTTATTTTTAATGGACTTGATCACTGAACTCTATGTACCTGCAAATTGCAGAGTAACAGTGGAACTTTTGATGAAGATTGATCATCCATTAATACTGGATGATTACTCAAATTGCCTGCATCAGCCCCGGGATGTGAAAGAACTACATAAAGTATTTCCAGTCAGCCGGGCCATTATCTACTTTCAATCTGACTATTTTAAAACTTTTTCAAATATAGTAGATCAACAAGTTTTAGTTCATTAGTTGCTTTAGGCATAACTTGGTTTACTTTTGATAGAAACCCTTTAGTACATAACCATACCTAGAATGTGGATTATTGTAGGACTAGAATGTGGAGTGTTGGTTAATATATATAATTGAGTTACTACCTCTACTTATAGGTGAAGTCTCAACAATGTTACAATTAAGGGTTATTATGATGTTTACAAATGTAGCGTATTGAATTGTAAGTAGAATTTTAGAATTGAGTTTAAAGAATGCTCCAATACCCAATATATTTCTTCAATACTGTAGACAGCATTACATGCAAAATAAATGACTAGAATAATTTGTTGATGTTTTTTGAAGTACTAATAAAAATGAAGTGAGATGCACGTTTTTGCCATATAAAAATAAAAATAATTCGTAGAGCTAAATTCACAACAATCTCTCGAGTAAATAGAGAAGAAAATTTAAAAGAGGTAAACTAAAATTGATCTTGGTATATATGTATTTATAACTAAAAAATAAAGCAACAAAAGAATTTCAAAAATTAACTTTTGTTGCATTTTGTATACCTTTTATTATTATTTTATACAGATTGAACTATATATCTAAAAACAATTTTTTTTTTTTATTTTTGACCGTGTTGTACCTTTTTAAATAAACTAATAGATCATTTTAATTGTTTATTGAACACATAGCAACATGCTACATTTGAGAACTAAAATGTCCTTGTGATGGATTAATTGTGACATTTGGGAATGAACTTGGTGTATAAAGATAATATTTGTGACTTTTAGAAACTTTGTGGAACGAGACTTACCCAAAAAAAAAAACTCGTGGGATGTGATATCTGCGGTTAAGAAGAGAACCCTCACTTCCTCTTCCTGATTTATTCTAAAATAAAAAAATGATAAAATTACTTTTTAAAAACAAAATGTAAGAGTTAAGTGTGTGAGTATTATGAATGTATCAATCTCATAGCTTATGTACTTCAAATTTCACCTTTTAGTTAATTAGTGTACTGTGATACCCCGATCTTTTATAATAATTATTTTAAATTATATGTTTGTTTATGCATTCAAATTAATATTGAGAAATTTTTCTCAAAGGTGGACAAAATTTATATTATAGATTATACATATTTTGTGAATAAAAAGAATACTGGATGAGTTAGGATTTATTCAGTTTCATGTAATTTCGTATAAATTGTAATTTTTTGCATAAATTATTTCAATTTTGACCGTTTAATGTTCTATCAAAATTCGCTTCTTTCATTTGAAAAAGATAACAAAAAATAAAAAATTATATACTGTAAAAATATTACTCGGAGGATTAAATGCAAAAAAAAAAAAAAAGAAAAAAAAAAAAGTAATATATGTAAACTATATAATACGCCTAAACTATAGTACCATTAAAATTTTCACGTGCCATCACGTGACTTTTATTTGCGACTCTACGAGGCCCCCCCTACTCTCTCCCTCTTCACTCGCTCTCCATCTCCAAGGTCGACTGTAGCGGTTAATTTGGATGGTGTCGAATGGGTGTGAATTGAATGTTGCGAGTTAATCAAAGGAATAAATGTGAGTTAGGGTTTTCATCGACTATGTATATTCAGAATAGTTGAAAGTATACGAAGGATTTAATGAATGAGATGGTTGAGTTGGGATTTTTTTCCCGAGTGAGCCCGGTGATTCGGTAAATCTCTTCGCCTTTTTCACTGTAACAGAAATGATACATACAAGTATATATATACGCGTGTGCGTGTACATATTTATATATTAATCGATTTTGTTTAGATTTTGTATATGAAATTCGTAAGTTGTAATGTGTTTGTAGGTTTTGTTTGCAGGCATTGACGACCATTTTCAAGAGGCTATTCATCGGTGATTTAGGTACTGTGGATGATTTTTGTTTCTGTTAACTGACTGATATGTGGATTTATTAATGGTTTAATTCTACTTTGTTATAACACTTCTAAATGCTATTAGTTCTCTTGATGTCTTCATTGCTTATGTCCAAAACATTGTCATTGGCAGTTTAAAAAGTCTCCAATTTTAGTATAAAAATCACTGGAAGTTATAGTTATTTTGTAGGAGAAAGAAATAATATGTTATTTTTTACGAAGAAAAAGCATTTTTTTGCTCATATGAAACCTTACATTAGGTTATACCAAAGGGCATCTAGCCTGTTCCCCGTCTTCACGGAGGAGGGGAGGGGTTCGAGCACGGGTGTCAGCGAAAAGTGTGTGTGAATGTTTAAAAAAAAAAGAAAAAAAAACTTACATTAGTTGAATTGGAAGGGTATGATGATAAAATAAGGCAGAAAAAGTCATTGCGAAAACCAAATATGATGGGATAGGTAGAAAAATAATTCTTGAGGAAGCCAAAGCTTTATCTGATTCAATTCCTAACTATCTTTTGTGGTTTGGGCTTTGATAGCTTTTCTTATATCTATATATATTTTCTGATACGTATAGCTTTTCTATATGTTGCTTGCTGCCTTGTGCTTTTTGTTTAAGGAAACCCATTGAGGATTTCATCTTCTCTTGTTGTGGATGATATAAGTTATTTGATATACTCTATGTGTTGTGTGGAGTTGTCTGTATACGCCAACTGGATGTTTCTATAGGAATCAATTCAGGTGCACCAAAAACTAGGAGCTATTTCATAGAATCAAAATGCAATAGCATGTACACTAGGAATATGCATGAATTTTATGAACTCATCTTTAGCCATAGTTGTTTTAAGATCAGGATGATGGATGACCACAATAAATTTTCTTCATGCACTCGTATTTGGTTGAAAATGCTCAATATGCGAAAATGATCAGTGAATTATAAGCTGAATAGAAGAAACTTTGGCATTTACGATATAGAAACTACTTAGAAGAAACAGCTCCTAGTGTTCCATATCACTGCACCAGCTAACTCTCATTTGTAAGAACTCTACCACTACATACACAATCACGTCCAGGACAAGGGGAACAGATTCTGAACCGGAACAGATTCTTTGTTGGTGAAAAATAAAAATGCGCTCCCATCTTTTACATGTGCAAAACTATTTACGTGAGGAATCTAAAGAGATCATCTGGCGACCAAACTTTAATGGCAACCCAAAATTTTGATAAGCCCTGATTTCACCTCCCAACCCCGCTGTTACAATCACCAATCCCCATGCTGTTGCTTGGATGGTACGGCCTCCATGGTTAATACCACCATCAAACAAAGACCAAGAGGAAGACCAAGAATGCGACCTAGGATTTCCAGAAGCAGAAATAGACGGTGAATCGCCGTACCTAAGTGAAGCAGAAGCTGAATCGAAGGACTCGCCAACTCCGATCCCGGAGTTTGCACGAGAAGCTTGAGCAAGGTCCTCGTCCCTGCAACTTGAAGCTTTCTCCAAACCGTTATTTTTCTTGGGAAGAGGTGGCAAATTTCTTTTACTATTGGAACCTCCCAAATTGTCTTCTTGGGTAGGAGATCCAATATTTGAAGTTACTTGTGGAATAGATCGTTTTGAGTGCCTCTTAGAATGCACCTCTATGGTAGGTGGCTCATTTTTTATGCTACCTGGCCATGCGATTGCAACGGAAACATCTCTACACTGGAAGAATTCGTGAGATTGGGTGGAGACAAAACCTCTGCTTTTCCCTGCGCCTACGTTTCGGTGCTCTTCACGCTTCCAGATGCATACTTGGGAATCTTCACTTGCACTTACGACATATTTTCCATCTGGACTGAATGTAGCCGAAATTTGGCTGGTAGTATTTCTAAAACCTGTTACCCAAAAGCTTATCAAATAGTATTTAGAAAACACATAGATTTATATGCATCCATGTATGTGGGAATATATTTCGAGGAAGTACCTCTGAACTTATAAACGAGGTCTGAACCATCAAAGATTCGAATCCGGGAATCAGCTGAAGTAATGAGCACTTCAGATGGATTTCCTGGGACGAACTGTTCATAAACAAGATTACTTAGTGTTTCTCTATCAACGAGATTAGTTAGCTTGCTATAAGTGGTTGGGCAAAGAGGAGCTTATATAAGCCAAGATGAAACTAGGAGCAAGGAGGGGAGCATCACCTGGAAACCGGTGATCTTTTTTGCTTGAGACTTTTTCTTGAATTGGATGTGAATCTGTTCCTTCTGTTCTAGCTTGAAATCTAAGTCACCAGATAAAATGGATATTAACTAACTCATCTGTATATACTATGAAAAGATTATAAAGTAGAACTCACTAGAGTAGAACCAAGGACTGAAGAAATGATAAATGGATAGGACAAGAATATTAAACAAAGCAAAAAGGAAAAGAAAAATTAAAAGAATCTAGAAGAGCAAGTCATACCAGCTGTACTGTACAAGCGACAATTCCCATTATGTGAACCAATTAGGGCACCCTTCAATAAGTAAACACAAAACAATAGTAAATATTTAAATTCATGTTTAGAAATCAAATTATACAGTCATGGAATTTGCTTTTCCTTATGTTTGTTTTATTTTGGTCCAAGTCCAACACAAATTGTGTACCTGGGTTGAAACTTAAAGTTTCTGCTACATATAGCTTAACGGAGCAGATTGGAACAGTATGGGGTACTCAATATATCAAACATGAAATTTACTTCATTTCATTGCGGAATCTGGAGTCCACTCAGACTGAAGATAAGTGGTCAACTGAGTTTATTTAAGCAAAAAATGGACTGAAAACTCAGCATGACTACCTGGCCATCAGGAGTATAACTAGCTGCAGTAACCATCTCATGAAGGTCAGTCCAGTCCACAACATGTCGATCAGGTATGTTCCAAATTCGGACCTTTGCATCAAGTGAGCCACTGATGAAATAATCATCATCTATTGGATTGAATTGTATACATGTTACTGCCAGACCAAGCACGGATAGAAGCAAAAGTAGGTTAGACAGGAACACTATGGCAAATCATTGCATTAGGCCTTGATTAAGCTGTGATAACAAAGGCAGGCATCTCACCATAATCATTGTGTGCAAACAACTTTAAGCAGCTTTTTGTTTCCATGTCCCATAGCCTAACTGTCTTGTCCATTGAAGATGAAAGTAGTAGCTGCAAATCCATAAAATTTTATGATTGTAAGACATCTTTGATGTAGCAAATGAGATGGATATTTTCTTCCTTATTAGAGAAAGAAAATTCTTTTATAATGTGCAATTGACGACTTCAGTATTTTGTGGATGGATTCTTCTGAAATGAAGACTGTAGTCCTTTATTTATTATTGATAAAGAAGATTGCTATGTTTGGCTTCAAAGAGTAGTCAAATTCTAAAGGGTGTTTCTAGTGGTGGAAGCTGACCTGAGATTTCGACCAAGACAGGTCCAAGACGTCATCCAGATGACCTGTGAAGGTGCATACTGGTTTTTCTGAGAACGAAAATACAGTTTCTGGCAGATAAACATAGTCAGGAATTGAGTTGCCCTTTTTTTTTGTACCCTTCCCTTTTTTCCTTTTCTCTGATGGCATTGGTGAAATCTCTGCAAGAGGGGGCCTATCTGGAGAATTGCACGCCAGGGTAGAAAGTGAGCTTGAACTGGTGGAATTCAGATCATCGGATGATCTCGTTGACACTTCACATTCTTGGACTTCCCAGACATGAATTACCCGGTCTTCTCCTGCACTTGCAAGGTAACGTGAGTCCAAGCTGAATCTAATGGTCCAAATAGATCCCTCATGGGCTTGAATTTCTTGACACAAATGCAGAGCAGTAAATTCCTTGTGGGGCTTCCCCTGTTGACGGACTTTAACCCATTGGGAGGACAAATTCTTGTTAGATCGCTGCTGATCAGCTGGTGTAGAATGCTCTCTTTCTTTGTCAGCTTTTGATCCACTCATGGAATTTGCCACACCCTTTATGTTCTTCAAGAAAGCAGCCCCCCTTCTCTTGCTATTTCTAAAGCTCTTACTAAACGAATTAGTGCTCATTTTCCGACCATCGTCCAGATTTCTTGTAACATTTTCACGACGCATCAGCTCCTTAACAACAGGGGAATAGCCGACACTCTTCTCGAATTCTTCCATGGTGAGTTGCTTCCCTGTCTGAAGATCACTGAGCCTATTCCACATTCCATCTTTGTTGTACTCTTTAACAATGAACTCCTTGCCGGTGTCCAAATTCTTTATCAAAAAGAATGCACTAAACTGGCTGTCCGATAATACAGATGACATCACATCAGCATTACTTACTGATCTGTTTTTTGTTCTGTTTGGTAATACTTCAATGGAATTGGCACACATACTAGCATGTGGTGTTACTAATGACGAGGATGTTCTTGTGAGGCGCTGTTTTGAGATATCACCAATAAATTCTTCTTTCCTTCTTTTGGTATTTACAGAAGATGATTCGATATCGCCATCTGATCTTGATCGGACTAGCACAATTGTCGTAGAAGATGAAGGTTCTGGCTCAGGATCAGGTTCTGGTTTTGATTTTGATTTTAATTCTTCTGAGGGAGCCGAGTCAACCTTCGACTTTGGAGGTGGTTGTTCATTGGCAACTTTCTTTGAAGAAGTGTGCTTGAACTTGGTGCTGGTGACATTGAGAAGGTCTTTGTTGCTTGACAACCCCATACCCTGAAGGAGCCGCCTGCGACGATCCTCGATGGAGCCAGGCTCCTCCATCCACATGTCATAGTTCTCCAACATGATTGAAGAGGCTTTGACTGCATTGTAACCACGAATGCCACCAATGGAGGAGGCCGATGATACGGCAGAAGCAAAGGACATCCGGCTGTCTTCAAAATCTTCATCAGACCCTGAAGACCCCAAGTCATGGGAATCTGCTGCAGAGATTCGACTGAAGGTTTCGAAGAAATTGTCATCGTCTTCATCGTTCCCTAAACCATCCCAGTTTGCAATCGTCATTGTCTTCCGATGCTGATGCGTGGTTGGTGTTGTTGGCGTTGGCGTTGGCGTTGGCGTTGGTGTTGCCATTGCTAAAAGAATTCAACGGATCGAAGTAATGAAAACATAAGCAAAAAAAAAAAAGAAAAAAAGAAAAGAAAGGGAAATGATCAGATTTTGGAAAACATAGACAGAAAGATGTTGAAACAATTCCAAGAAAGTTTTGGTAATTTTTCCTTTGGGGGGAGAGAAACGGCAGGAAAGAAAGAGAAGCGGAAGAGAGAAAAACATGGCTGATGACAGTTACACATTTCTTTGGATGGTTGGTTGGTTGGCAAGAAAGAAACGGTCAATGGATCATCAGTGATCACTCCTCCTCACATCCGTACCATTACATTACCCAATAAATGGGTCTCACGTCTGTTTTATTTTCGTAAGATATTAGGTATTATGGGGTCTCACTATGTGTCTTGTGTGAGAGAGAGCTTGGTGGATATAACCTTATTTAACATTTGATTATTTTTTTAAATGAATATGTCCTTGATATGCAATGGCCACTGCAGTTTAGTCATTTAGACGTGTTAGAAATAATGTGTTAGACTTAGACGAAATTTTATTCAAAATTCTAACTAAATTTCTTTCAATTACATTTTCAAAAATTAATGTAGTTGTTTTCAGACATAACTTTAAAGTAAATGAAAAATCCATAAAATAAAATAAAAAAATGTTGAATTTCAGTTCTTTCCAACACCACTGACAAACTGTGATATATATATATATATGTAATATTTGTTCAATTGATCAGGCTTTGGACATCTTTGACATCTTAAGTTTTGTGGCAAGGAAAATGAGTTTCAACATTGATTGGACAAATAATTAAAGAAAATATGGGGATAAAATGGAGGCAAAGAGAATTAAAATGATTTTAATATACAGAATTTTTTCTCTTTCTGTGCATAAGTGTTAGCATTCAATTTTCGGTCTAGTCCCCCAATATCAAATGTCATACAAAAACCACTATATTATGAAAGTTATTTTTACAATTTTTATTTTTATTATTTCTCCCTATTTTTTTTCTTCCAAGTTTTGGAGTTCTCAAAATCCATGCACATTTGACTACCGTTTGGTATGATGCAATTGCAAATGTTTGGACTATCAAATTGACAACACGTGTTTAAACATTTTTTTTTATATATATATTTAACAAGAATCAATTCACCTACTAACTCTTCACCTACTAATCACTTGAACACTGACTTGGAAAATAAATAATTACTTCACGAAATTAAATATATAGCATATGAGTTTAAACACAACCCGTATTGGGTACTTGAATAAAATAAAATAGAAGTTCACGTGATGAAGATTAAGCCACACATGTACATTGTACTAGGTACAATTGTAATACTGTAATAAATATATGTATTGAATTATATGACAAATATAAAAGATGAGAGAGATGTAAAAATGTGTGTGTGTGTGTGTGAGAGAGAGAGATAATTTTATTCATTTTCCACACCTCAATTGTGTACACATGGTATCAATTTATAGCTTCTAAAATGTGGGCACCAAACACCTTCTTCAACAAGCTGCTCAGTTATTCAAAATGTGTTAATTACAAGTGGACCTCACCCAACATACATATTACACTTTTCTTTGAGGTCCACTGCACTACACTAAGAATATGTCTCGTTAAAATCTTACTAAGAAAAATTCAGTGGACAAAACTCTAGCGAAGGAAAAAGAGTACAGTATTCTTGTATATCTAAAAATGGTATTGCAAAAGTTGAAACTGCCTCATTAAAACCTTAACAGGAAAACCCAATGGAATAAAACCTGAACGAAGGAAAAAGAGTACAATATGCCAATACCTTTTCAACTAATTTCTTGTGATACCCCTCGAATCCGAGATACGGGTTGATCAGGCTCAGGCCCAAACCCGAGGGAAATATCAAACAATTAATATGTAATCGAACACAGAATACAACATAAAATAAGAAATAAAAATAATAAGCTGGAAGAGTGCTAACTGAAAATCCTTAAGATATAAATATTGAAATCCAAAAAATCCAAAACTCTATAAGTTTATAACTCGGAAATCCATCCATTGGACCCCTTATTAAAGTTCTCCAAAAGATACTGAAATAATAAAAATAAAATCCAAAGCTAACATAGAGAAGATTCCTACATAATCGGAGGAATGAATAGCTGTATCTGCTCTGCACGTCCAAGATCTAACCCTGGAACTGACGAACACCTGAAAAATAAAGAAATGGGTCAGGCCCACATACAAGTCCTGATCTACTACAATCCAAACAGTAATCCGATACGCAGATACATCTTAGGAAGACTCAACAATAACTAAAGTAGTTCATATAAGTATATAGTACACACTATAGGACGCTCGCTAGTCCAGTAGGTTTGTCTCAGCCTGAATAGAAGGCAACATGCAAATACGCACCCTAAGGTGGGCATGAGTACCTAGACCTACCAGGGAACAACACCTATGTCCAGTTAACCATCCTCGGCGATATACGCGCCCTAACCATAGTCATGAGACTCAAGCTTATACCACGGCACCATATAATATATATATAAAGTCCGAACTCCCCCTAATACAGTATACCATCCATCTGTGTAGTGGTCTGATATATGTACAACAAATCCATCCTGATACCATAGTAGGTCATTCAATTCTCAATTGATATGACACAAGTAGGTGATGGACTTAACCTATATGATTAATCCATACCTTGATCCAAATTAGGTAAGACTTAATGTTGGAATTAGTCCATACCTAGTATGTCACCGTCCCATACCGGTACATACCATCCTCCAGTTAACAGAGTTGATAAAACAGTACTAGATAATCATCAACCCAACTCCCAAATTATGCACAAACCAAATTAATCCATAATTATAAAACTTAGGCATTCAGTCCAGGCCTAGAAATTATATTCCAACCATTAAATTTGTTATTTATAAAACATAGCATTTATAGCATGCATCAAATTCACTAATTGATAAAATTAACTGAACTGTTATATCAATTACTTCCAACCAAACATAGATAATTCCAAGAATTTTACTATGCTTATAAAACTGTCTAAACATAATTAAAACAGTAATAAAAAAAAATCCCAATTCCAGTCCGTTAAATGACAAAACAAAAGCATGCAATTTATTTCTCCAAACAGTGCCATAACTGGTGCAATTTATATCCAGTTTAAATCATCAGTTAATTCTATCCAAATCTACATCTAATTATACTACTATATGCTTAAACCATAATAAAAAACATAACTAGCAGTTTAAGATTATATAGAGAAATCAAAATTTCAAAAATAATAGACAAAAGAAAATTAATTCTTCAATCATCCTCCTACGGTTCTCTGTTTAAACTAAAGTTAATTCCATCCTCTATACCTACTTGTAACCATGCTTCCCAACATTTTTATAAGTATTTGGCAATGATTTACACTCTCCAGTAGCTTTTAAATGATTTTAGAAAACCAATTTTCAGCCCAAACGGACCCTAAAATCAACATTCTGGCCAATTAAAGAGGGAGCAGGCTCTAGAAAAAAGTAGAGCCTGCTCTTCCCATCTAGAGCCGGCTCTAGCCTTACTAGAGCCTGCTCTAGTGCACCAAGAGCCGGCTCCTCCTCTTTGGGAGCCGGCTCTAAAGGTTTTGGAAGCCTCTTCTTCCTCCCTTAGCAGCTTTCTGTCCGTTTAAACTTCGTCTTCTCCGATTCCTGTGAGTACCAGCCCTCTGTGGTAACTTTTATTACATGTTTGAAGTTCCATCCCAGTTCCAAATTAATCACAAGACAATGGTACACAATCAAAACTTGAATTTAATTAAACATCAGTTTTTTTTTTTAAACAACGGCAGTAGGATTCAAAACTGAAATTTTAAACAACTGCAAGACAGATTAATTCAATAATTTTAAACACTGATTAACATGCATACAAGATGTATTTAAAACTTATTTTAATCCCTGGAGTCTTCCTAAACATGCACAGAACACAGATTAAAGGGATAGAGTGGAACAAAGACTTGCCTTGAGTTTCAGACTTTGAAACTCTAAACCTCCGTCTCTAAATTGTCCGTCAACGTCGTCGACTACTGTCTTACTCCTTTGACGCTCTTGGTTCAACCCAGAAAACACCTCGTCCAACCTTCCTTGAACCTCTCTGTATAATACTCAAGTTCCCTCTCTGTTTCTCTGCTCTCACAACTCTCTGTATCACTGTATACGGGAATAGAGTTTTATGTATTTTTTTTCCCCTCAACCTCTAAACCCACATAAGGTCATATATATAGGCATAGTAATCCAACCCTAATCCTTGTATAATGTGAGCCCTAATGCAACACTTAGTCGGCCCAAGAATAACCTAAATTATAACCTATGTCTGCTAATACGTGAATAAACAGAAAACACAATCCTAATTTAAACTAATTTAATTAAATAAAACCAATTATTAATTAAGTCAAATAAACATCATAAAACAATTTAATTTAAAATAATTTAATAAAAGAAAACCAAACAATTTAATCAATTAATTAAAACAAAAAAAACAAACTTAAATAACTATGGAAGAAACACACAATTAAAATAACCAATTAAGAGAATAACACGCAATTAAACAATTTAAATAAAAGATTAAACAATTAAATAAATGCCAACACGCAATTAAACAATTAAATAAAATATTAAACAATTAAATAAATGTCAGGACTATCCTTTTAAAATTAGGGGTATTACATTTCTTCCCCTCATTGTTACATTAGTTCAATTCTAAAGATCCTTTAGTTGAAGCATTCCATTGTTGTACACTAGCTTTTTGAATGTTGTAGTTGGAAGCGTTTTAGTGAATTAATCTGCTAGATTTTCACATGAATGTATCTTCTGAATATCAATATCATCCTTTTTCTGGCGTTCATGTGCATAAAAGAATTTTGGTGAGATATGTTTGGTCCTGTCACTTTTAATATACCCTTTTTTTCATCTGTGCAATGCATGCTGCATTATCTTCATATAATACTGTTGGGCTATCTTTTATTGATGAGAAACCACATATTCGAATATGTTGGATCATTGATCTCATCCAAATGCATTCCTTGCTTGCCTCATGAATTGTGAGTATCTCAGAATGATTTGAAGAAGTTGTAATCATTATTTGTTTCATAGATCGCTATGATATAGCAGTGACACCACAAATAAACACATATCCTGTTTGTGAATAAGCTTTATGTGGGTCAGAGAGATAGCCGGCATCTGCATATCTAATTAATTGAGAATTTGGTGTTTTTAAATAAAACAATCACATATCAATTGTACCACGAATATATCGCAATATGTGTTTGATTCCATTCCAATGTCTGCGGGTTGGTGCGGAACTGTAGCTTGCTAATAAATTGACTGGAAAAATTATGTCAGGTCTTGTG